GTAAAAGCGGCCGTGAAGTAAAAGCGGCCGTGAAGTAAAAGCGGCCGTAAAGTAATAAAGCAAATGCGGCCGTGAAGTGAATGCGGCCGTAAAGTAAATGCGGCCAAAAAAGATATACTTTAGGGATGATATTGAATCCGTAAAACTAATCTTTTTGTGATAGTCGCCTAAAATAACTATTTTTGAGGTTCCATCTCATATAGTCCGACAAATACCATTTTAAAGTCACGTGATACTGGTGGCAAAAAACGTATGTCCATTGATTATGTCGTTGATATCACCTACAAAAAGCTACTGGTGGTTAATTACTATTGAATTTTAATATATGTTCCCACTAGCATTTTACAAACGCGTTTCTGAAGTAGTATTGACCAATCAGAGGGCAATTTTAATACTTGCGAGACTCACTTTTGTCGTATCGGCTAAATCGGCTGTCTGTTTAATACATTCTGAACTTAAACTGAGTACCCGTTTTCTATTTGCTTCTTTTCGAGTTGGAAAAAGGTTAATATAGTCAAAATTATTAGCTGTGTTTGTTCGTTGTATTACTTTCGAAAATAACTTTGACAAACTAATTGATGGCAGTGACGGATTCTATTTCAGGTAAGAATATTATGAAGAATAATTAGACAGCAATTTTTTTGTCAATTTTACTATCACCGCTGTTTGAGATGTATTCAACAAGGATAGAGAAAAATCACGTGACTTTAAAAAGGTATTTGTTGGACTTTTATACCTATTATAGTTTAAAATTCTAAGAAAAAAAATCAAACTTCTCTTTATTACTAATTAGTCTGGGAGACGACCGCATTTTTCCTACCCCGATCGAGTTATGTGTCGACACTATTATCAATATATAGTATTATGTGCATCTATTAACCAATATTCCTGCCTGAGAGCAAATGCTGCCGGAAATATCTTTTAACAAATTATTAACAAATTGAAAAAAACGTAACACTACCCCCATCGAGTTATGCCCCAAGTAGGGTATCAGATTGAAGGTCTCGATGTCCCCTATCTAAAAAGTCGATCCTGCCTCGTGAGAACTTGCCGGAAAAGGGTGGCAGGACAGCTTATTGGGGCAAGGGCCCGCGGTCTCTGTTTTGACACCTATCAAGCTTTGCACTAAATGATGTGTCAAATTAAAGGTGTCATTAGTTGATTTAAGGTCTGTTCGCACAGAAATCACAAACCAGTCAGAGCGAATTTCATTGGTTGGAAAGAGTCAGGAAACTAGTTTCAAACAATGAAATTTACTCCTTCTGGTGCGAAGAGACCTTAAATCAACTTATTGACTTCTTTAATTTGACACATCATTCAGCGCAAAACTTGATAGGTGTCAAAGCTGAGACCGCGGGCCCTTACCCCAATAAGCTGCCCTGCCACCCTTTTCCGGCAAGTTCTCACGAGGCAGGATCGACTTTTTAGATAGGGGACATCGAGACCTTCAATCTGATATCCTACTTGGGGCATAACTCGATGGGGGTAGTGTTACGTTTTTTTCAATTTGTTAATAATTTGTTAATAGTTATTTATGTATCAAGGGAATTATGCAGGTGTTAATACCCCAGGGCAACGTTTGTGTCCCGAGGGCCTCCGGCCCGAGGGACACCAATTGCCCGTGGGTATTAACTCCTGATAATTCCCGTGGTACATAGATAATTTTATATCCTACTGAATTTACTGTATTCTGTCTATTTTTATAAAGGAATAAGCCATAAATCAAAATTTCTATTTTTTGTCAAAGTGTTACCTATTCAAGGTAAAAGCGGGAGTTATGGAAATCCTTAACTCCCTTGGGAGTTATGATATCCTTAACTCCCTTCCTTAACTCCCTTGGGAGTTATGAAAATCCTTAACTCCCTTGGGAGTTAAGACCCTGTTTATGATTATCGTAACCAAGGTATTATATGGTTTTAATAGTTCAGTAGGATATAAAAGATATTTCAGGCAGCATTTGCTCTCAGGCAGGAATATTGGTTAATAGATGCACCTAATACTATATATTGATAATAGTGTCGACACATAACTCGATCGGGGTAGGAAAAATGCGGTCGTCTCCTAAACTAAATGTATTTCAGAGTCTAGACTGGGTACCCATTATCCCTTTTTGAGTTAATTATTTCATGGAAAGTACAAAATTTTAAATGGCAATATTTGCATTTTACAATTATATTGGGTAGAACCAGGAACCAGACAACTAATGGTACTTATAAAAGTTTACACCCAAAATAAAAATAATAAAATTCATATCCCACAGCGAAATTACTGACAAACTGCAAAAAAAAAAAAACATAATTCAAATTTGATTTGGGTATGCATTATCTTGATCAAAAAATGCGCTCATCATATACCATTTTAGTATTCAATAGAAAATCGCATAAGTGACATCAACCAATATCCTTGTATAACTATTTTGCTATTGTTAAATTCTTTTTAATTGAATAAAAATAGATATTACTATTTTGCCGTGCATTTTATTATAGGACGGTTTGAAAATTATTCTAATGCGAGAAAAAGATGAAGCGAAATTATATGCCTGGGGTACGACCCTATTTCGACCTTCTGTGAAGTAGGTAATTAAGTCTGAACATCATTATGTGCATCTATGTAGGTAATATAGGAATTTCAAAATTCAAATTATTAATGAATAAGGGGAAAACGTTAATGAAAAGAATGTTTTTCGTACCGGTTTTTCTAATTAATTGGTGACCTTACTACTGAAATATTTTAACAAAGAAAAAAAAATTGTATGAACTTATAACTTCACGAGTTCAATAAATATTATTATTGACCTCCCTTATAATTGCTTATAGCAGAAATTATTGCAAATTTTTTTGGAGGTTCCCTTACCAAAATTGAATTACTTTTGGTTGTGACACGGTATGATTAAACCCAATACAGATTTTTACCAGTGGTGGAACCCCAAGAGGATATAATTTATTTTAAAATGCCCCCCTTTTATTTCACTTTTCATTTTTATATCTTTTTATCAAGATATTGTCTTATATTTTCGTTATTCTTTATTTATCTGAATTTCCAAAAATATTCAATCAGTTTAGAGGTTATCATTTTTTAATTTTTTTAATTTTGTAAAATGCGTTTTTTTCCTATATTTTTCTATTTTAGATTTGTTTGTTTATAAGAATAGTTTTTTTTAAATTAAGATACATTTTTAAACATATTTTAATTCCTTGACAATTTTGTTTAGTGTCTTGATGCATTTTTTTTTTTTTAATCCTTTGTAGGCTTTTTTTATGTTCTCAGGTTCTTTATATTCACCCTTATAGGAAAACAAATTAAGCTCTTTATCAAGCATTTTTTGTAATTTTAATTATACCTATTTAATTCTTTCACGGTAACTTTTATAGTTTCTCAATTAGTCAGTATCAAAGTACCTATCTTATGGCCATTTTCACCAACTATTTTAGGGAAGCCCTAACGATAAGTATTCCCTAAATTGACATTTCTTCATGGAAAACTGTCAGTTAAGGGAATACTTATCGTTAGGGCTTCTCTAAAATAGTTGGTGGAAACGGCCATTAGACATTTTCAGAGATATTTTGTGGTATGGAGACAAATTTTCAAAAGTTTCCAAAATCATTATTCTATTATTATTGGCTCTTCACTGGACGCGTCTGGGCTGTTTATGATGATGATGATGATGATGATTGTTCAAGAAGTAGTGTGATATTGGGTCTCTACTTAACAAGTGCAAATACTTTCCATATTTAAGGAATTTGGTCATAGTACTCATAGTTCTTTATTGGAACTGTCTAGATTCCCGAACGTGGGATCGCTAGAAAAACGCAAAATCCCGAAGAGACACGTCTTAATAACGGCGTTCGGGAGTTTCCAAAAATAATTCTAATCCCGACTTCTAGACTGGGCAGTTTTGGCTGAAAATTTGTATCCTTCATTATTGGGTTAAATATAAATGACACTAATTGGTTTATGTAAAGAATAAAGGTGGGTTCTAACAGACATTTAATTTAATTTAGCATTTAATATAATTTAATTTAAAAAGTTTACTATACAATACCATATGATGGCGTTCATACAAAATTTTAATTTAAGACATAATATAACTTAATTTAAAAGTTGGCCAACTTTTATCTTTCAAAATTAAATTAAATTAAATTTGAGGTTGATCATTGATTTTCATCAGTTTGACAAGGCAGATGACGGATAATGACATTTTTCTATATCAGTTACAAAATTACTGTATGAACGCCACAAAGTAAAATTATATTAAATCTTAAATTATGTTAATATAAAATTAAATTAAATTTCTGTTAGAACCCAGCTTTACAAGATGCTATTGATTTTCTCTTTTTGCTACTTCCATGCTTTTCTATTATTTGTCTGATAAAATTATAAGTCGGGAGTGAAGTAAAAGAATACCTCTAGAATACAGGCTTTAATTTACTCAGAATATTACTATACAGAGCATATTATAACTAACATTGACAAACTGAACTGTCAAGGTTGACAAATAATGAAGGTAACAAGATATAAAATACAGGACATTTTAAAAGTTTCTAAATATATAACAGGGAGTTTACTCCTGTTGTAACAGTCCCAAGATCGGGATTCGAATAATTTTTGGAAGTTCCATGAATTTCCATTTTTACTGGCTAACGGAGGAGTCTTGGAAGATAAATTAAACATAATTATAAGTTTTGTTGAAGATTTTAAGCTCACATTTTTCGAGAATATACTTAGTTACAGGTTACATGAAAGTAGGAACTACAAATCCTAAAACTTCTATCTCATTTTGTCGAAGGAAAGATGACAACATTTTATCGAAAAATGCACATTAGTGAAGTGTCCTCTCCCAAAACGGCCCTTTATGGCAAATTTTAAAAAAGTTTCCGAAGATAACTTTATATATGAGATGAATCAATCTTCCTTTGTACTTTATTAAGTTTATCCCTCTTTAGACAAATTCCTAGTCCTGCCACTGTCGATTTATTTCAACTAAGTACAATATAATCTACCTGACGATAATAGAATATTAAACTTAAATAAATTTATATTGCCTTTAGGTAGGGTCAAGGTAAAAGAAGATACCAACACTGCAGAATATATATAGCAGGGTACGCGTGTCCTTCTCCATCAGTATTGACCTCACCTACCTATAAAAACAACACTTTGTTTGATTTTATTCGTTTCAGTGTCAAGCAGAGACTCTTCCTTGTAACTTCTTCGGATCAGAACGACGACCTGCTGCTTGCTCTTAGTTGATAACTGGTTTTAATTATTGTCTTTAAGGTAAGAATTTACTTTTTTTTATTTTAAAGGTCTTATGATTTTATGTGTCTTTGTGGTTTGTACATTTTTTGTTACCAAGAAATTCCTCATTTATTATTTTTTTTTTAAACAATTTTGGGAGCTTGCAAAAATTTGCTTGAAAACTTTTTCCAGTTTTCCAAAAACGAAACGGTAAGATAGAATTCCTTGGTGGTTTTATCACGCTGGAAAAACATAATAGGTACCTACCTATGCTGCTGAATTCGGCATGGTGCGAAAAAGTATTACTTTTTTCGCATTTATTTGAGTAAAAAATTCTCATCAATAGAGGTACTACCAACGGTACTGCTTTAAAATAACGAAATAAGTAGTATAGGTACCTATACGAAATTTTACTGAAATGTTTGCACGCAGTCGAGTCACGTTTTTCCTAATGAACAAATTATTTTAATTTTTTTGTAGTTTTTGACCGGAGTTACCCAATTTCCTAATTCTCAATATTTGTCCTTAATTCTTAAAAAGTTCAATTTATTTAACATTGCGCTGTTTTTAAAAAGATTAGGAACAAAAATTAAGAATTAAGGAATTGGGTAATCACGGCCTTACAACAAAAGCCGCAAAATTAAAAGATTTTCATTATTTTTTGAAAAAGAGCATTCGTCTGAGAAAAATAAATTCCAATTGAAAATTATTTTTTCCATTTGATTCTTCACGAGTAAAGTGAAAGTGAAAAGCTAATAGGAATTTTAACGACCATTAGTTCAAATGCGTCTTCTCATTATTAGGTTGGAGAAGTTACACAATTAAACGCCAATTAAGTAATGTTTCTCTATTAAATTTTAATAGCTTATTAATAATTAGCTGATATTTTGTGTGTATTAATACCTACCTTTTGAAGATTTTCAACAGACGATTTTCGGTTTTTTTTTCGCAAATTTATACCTGGACAATTTGGTATGATACCTAAAAAATAAGCCAAATAAAAATCAAAATGCCATCTTTCAACTTCTCCAGAACTACCACCTATCAAGTATTCTCAGAATGTACCTATACATGGTGTCCGGAAAGTCAACGATAATACTGAAAGGGCTGATAGCAATTCATTTAGCATCCAGAAAAACATAATATGATGACCTTAGTAAAAAATCGATGGTTTCCGAAATATTGTCGGGGATAATACCACGAGAGCTTCAAAATTACCGATAATTTTTCACGATTGCGTGTTTTCTATAATTTCACGAGTCCTTAGGACGAGTGAAATTTGCAGAGAAAACACGCATGAGTGAAAAATTATCTGGTTCATTTTAAAGCTCAAGTGGTATTTAGAGGATTATTTCACGCATGAGAATGCAAAAAATATGGAAATAAATATGTTTTAAATGATTTGAATATCTCAACAATCCATACAAATAAATGGTTGCTATCAGGAACCGTTTGTTTGTATCAAAAATTAGCATGACAACCATGTATAAAATAACATGGGAGAATTATCGCTGTAATTCTCTCTAGTTAAACAAATGGAAAAGAGAATTTTCGCTGTAATTCTGAAAATCGTCACTTGTCTTATGGGATTTCTAACACATGAGTGGAATAATCACTTTAATAAAATTCGTTAAAATCGTCCTTTGGATCAGATTTTCGAGTGTTACCTTGAAATTTTCATTAGTCTCAGATTCTGAATTCAGTTTTGCAATGGTTATAATAGATATTTCATTTGTCATAGACCAACATTAAAAGTCAAAGTTCAAAACATTTAATAAAAAATCTTTTTAAAGTGAAGTTTGGCTTATTTTTATTTTCTATCACTCAAGTTTCACACCTCATACCATACAAAGAAATTCTACGCTAACCTGGTTAATGATTCGGAAAGTTTTCTCATTTAACGTACTTTTTAAAACTATCCAGAATCTGAAAATAATGAAAATCTTAAGGTGACACTCGAAAATCTGATCCAAGAGGACGATTTTATCGAATTTTATTAAAGTGACAATATCTCGGAAACCATCGATTTTTTTACCAAAGTCATATTATGTTTTTTTGGATGCTAATGAGTTGCTCTATCAGCCCTTTCAGTATTATCGTTGACTTTTTAGATACCCTAAATATTTACATTACGATATGTAATGAATTTATAAACAATTTATATTCTTGACTTTATAGTTTACTAGTGCAATAATGTCACCTTCCAATGGCTGTAAACTTGTTCTATAAAGATAATTTCAAGTATAATAAAATCGTAAACAAATTATTTTATTGAATATATTATTGATCAACAGCTTTTTCATATTTTCCAGCACGTAATCACACACAATTAATATTTAAATTATAATACTTCTACTTTCGCCAATTGTTACAAAATTGTATTTAAATTATTATTATTTCGCCATCGATCTTCTTTTATTCACCTTGCCATTGTTTTCATTATTAATAATTAACAATATAAATCCGTGATGAAAATACAATATTTAACGGATTTTTATGAAATAACTGAATGAATAAAACTTTTGCAAATATTCATTGATTTATTCTTATTGGTGAATGAAAAAAAAAAAAAAAAAATTGAATAACATAAGTGGACCAACAAGATGGGAACAGGTGGATGTTTGAAAAATGATAACATGATTATTAGGTGTTTATTTTAGCAGTAGTATACAACAGGCTGAATATCTGATGTCACTTTTTTTTTTTTAATCGCTCGTACACATTATTTGATTGTGTGAGTGTTTGAAACATTTTCAGCACTAACTTAACCGTCTAGGGGAGGTGGGACCAATGATACCTGTTTTTAAAAAGCGTTCAATTTTCTTCCAAATGAAAGAGAATTAAACGCTCTTTTAAAAGAGGTATCACGCGACCCCTTGTTTCATTTGAAATAGTAAGGGTTGGTCCCACCCCGCCTAGAGGGTCGAAGTTGAAGTGCTAAAGATGGTTGCAGGAAACTTTTTGAAAATCAAATTACGTGTACGAGCGATAAACGTGGCTTCAGATATTTAGCCTGTTTCGTTTTAAATGGTACACTCTGTATATCGACATTGGTTTTATATACAGGGTGTTTGGTACATCGATGCGAAGTTTTCAATAGCATTTATTAATAGTATCAGCTAACAAACAACAAGAAATACATTATTACATTAGCAAAATATTCAGTATTTAAACACTACTTAAGTTTTCAACAATAAATTCTCTTAACCTAATCTTAAATGTAGCGAAACTTTCATTCTTAATATCACTAGGAAGATTGTTGAACTCTACTAATTCATCATTTGATCATGGTAATATCTCTGCTTCTGTGTCCTCTTTATCTGCACTACTACCTTATTGTTTCTTTGTTGTTTGTAAAATTTCCAGTCTCCATTTTGATGTGTAATTATGGCTTTTTTATGTCTCTTTGTGATACTGGTTCTTTAATTTCTGGTGACCACCATTTTTTCTTTCCATATTTATCGTATATCCTTCTCTCAAATAAAGGCCCGTGTTGATTAAGGTTATCAGATATTGTCTGAACAAGGTGATTGGCTATGTAATTCGTGGATTGGAGGGAATCTGGCCATACGCTATCCATGACATCTAGTTGGAACCGAAGTTTGTTACAGTTATACATATCTCTGATAAGAACTGTGACTGTTTCGATATGAGGGAAATCAATGGTTATTATCGAATGATCTGCTACTTTTGGCGTGTGATGAACCTTGTGTTCAACTGTCTTATTATTTGTTATAATAAGGTCTATTATTGTGGAGCTATTCTGAGTAACTCTTGTGATATTTTGAACCATTTGATACATTCCATGACTTGAAACTAATGTTTTTAGTTTGTCTGAATAAAATGTGTTCCTTGCAACGTTTATATTGAAGTCTCCTACCAATAGGAATGTATCAGGTTTGGTTGCATATTCTTCAATTATTTTATCCAGTTTTTCAAGAAACTCGTTGTGACTTGAACTAGGCGAATGGTATGGTAAACATTTAGAATATTGTATTTTTGACCTTTAATTGATATTCAATGATGAGTTCTTTCTGAATGTATACAGAAGCACCTCCTGTGTGTCGACTTGATGAAAATGCATGCACTTCTTTATATCCGTCAATAATTGTTTCCACCACTTCCAACTCTTCTGTGATATGAGTTTCAACTAAGTAGATGACCATAGGTTGCCTCTGATTTATTAACCAAATAAGTTCAAAGTTCAGTTTTATGGGCTAATAAACTTTGGATATTAAGATACAGCAGCTGTTGACACTGCAATTGCTATTTGTTTACCTTGCAGAATGTTTCAGGGTAACTGATTCTCATTTGAAATTGTTCGTAGACTCTCTTGTATGCGGGACAGTTTCTATTGAATGCAGAGTGATGACAATCTATATTTGGTATATTCAAAACTTCCTTCGCATTCAGGCAGTTGTTAGTTGTTACAAACCTCCGCCTCGCTTGTGCATTCTTCCTTTTTGTGATTTTCGCTGCATTTTGGGCATATTATTTCCTGAGACCTACATTCATGAGCCATATGACCAAATTTCAACATACACTGTATGATATTTACATGCTCATAATAATGACACGTTCTCCATCCAATATGCAAAACCTCCTTTCTATTTATCTCACCAAAAATTTTCCCATCCACCTGCAGTATAGCCACCTCTCCTCTTTTCTTATCTTCATAGGTACTTAAAAGCTTCATAGGTACTTAAAAGCTTCACTGTTCTGTTTTCACCAATATTTGAAATTCCATTTTGTATCATATTAAACTCTCTAACAAATCTTGTATCAGCTTTTTTTCTATATTTGTGATTTTCAACTTTGGATTTCTCTTTTTTGCCACATCAACTAGCTACATATTGCCCCCTTATTTTTTTTCCGATATCTTCCGAAATATTTTTTATATCGTCTTTCTTTAAACAAGATATAGCAACTCCACCCTCTCGAACAAACTTCACTCATGACACTTCTGCACCTATTGCCCTAGGGTTTATTTGTTCTTCAATTATTTTTTTCGTAGTCGAACTGTTTTGTTTCATATCCTTAGGTTTTATGATAATTATACTTCCTCAGGTTTCTTCTTCTTTGCAACTTCGCTGTATTTTGGGATTGAAGCAGATGCTTGTGATTCGGCAATCAGAAATATCTTCCATAAGTGCAACCATAGATGGAATCTTTCTTAATACCATTTTGCAATTTTCACACGAAAAAATCAACAGCCTCTTCTGTAAAGGCAGCATGCACCCTTCAATGAGTGATAGTTGGGGTCATTTGGGAGCTGTTTGACCATTTACCCTCATGCAAAGTTTCGTCGTTTTTGAGACATCAGCATTTTTAGATATTGACCATGGTTTCTAAAAATTCAGTTAAAACAGTACAACTTTTGTATTTACACCTTTCTTAGAGCTGTAAAGGTAAAGGCTGTAGGTGGGGTGTCAATATATAAAAAAACACCCTGTAGTACAAATAAGTGGATTATTGCGGAACTTATAGTATCATACTTGAACAACATATTGATGAATAGATGGCTGCGGAACTTGCTATGCTCGTCCCGCAGAGGTCCGCCCATAAGTTCCGCAACATTCCACTCGTTTGTACTTGAATAACTTGTCACAATATATTACTAGTTTGGTAAAGTAACATTACCAATTCCTGTTGAAAGGCAAATTGACAAAAAGTGGATAATCTTACAAATTTTGACTTTATATAATAAGTTTATTGTTCAAGTACAAATAAGTGGATAATGGCAGAGCTTACCAATATACTGTTGAACTGTTCAAGTGAGGCAACTCACATTTGAGTGAGTCAGGTTAGTATCGTAATTAAACAACACATTAATGAATAGATGGCTGCGGAACTCGCTGCGCTCGTCCCGCAGAGGTCCACCCATAAGTCTCGCAACAATCCACCCGTTTGTACTTACAAATTCTGACTTAATATATATAATAAGTTATTATTCAAGTACAGGGTGTTTTTTTATATATTAACACCCCATGCACCTACAGCCTTCACCTTTATAAATAAATATTTGGTTCTATATTTTTGAAAAGCACAATTTCCCGATTCGAAAACTATATAGTTTGTCTGTATTTGGTTGAGCCGTCTCCAACATATTTGGTTCCAAAAATTTTAAAAATACTATTAGAGAAACCAAGTACCTCAAATTTTACCTCCAGCTTTCACCTGTAGGTACAGGTAGAATGGTTCACAAAATCAGTAGTAGGATAGTATTTGTACAATTTTTGGAGCCGAATATATGAGAGACTGTTCAATCAACAACAAACTATATATTTTTGGAATCGGAACATTGTGCTCTTCATCAAGAATAATATAGAATGAAATATAGGGCATCCCGTTTGAAAAAACCTGGAAGCATGCAAAATTTCACATTTCTGACATTCAAATTTTGTTTCTGACCATATATGGTTTCTAAAAATTCAGCCAAAACTGTACAACTTTTGTATTTACACCTTTCTTCTACCTGTAAAGGTAAAGGCTGTAGGTGGGGGTGTCAATATATAAAAAAACACCCTGTACCAAACACCCTGTATAATTATATACCTATATATATTTAGTTAAAAATGTATACCTACAATAAATATAGTGCAAGTGCATAACAACTTCCAGGTAGTTTATGAACTGATTTATATAGAGAAATCAAAAATGTATTTCAAAGTCAGTGCCAATAATAAATAATAAAAATCTCTCTCAAAAAATGTCCCATTCATATACACATATTTGTTGAAATTATTAACAATACCAGATACCTACCTGAACAAACATTGCTGAGGAATTCGAATAAATCATAAAAAAAAAACAACACAAATTTCTAAGTAAATATTTAAATAAATAATTCATATAGGTATTATTTTATTTATAGGTCATCATGTTGAAATTCGTATTAGTCGCCCTAACGGTCGCCCTTGTAAAGGCAGATCTACCCGATGGAAGACAGCTTGCCTCTCCAGAAATCGGTTTGTGCCATCAGAAATCTCTCCACGAAACTGGACCAGATGGTAAATAGTAGATTTCTGTAAAATAAGTTCAAAAGTTTTAACAATAATTTATCCTACTATTATTATAGGCAAAGGATATTTCTTCAGTTGGAGAGACCTCGGACTAAAAAACATCCAATACGATTGGTTGGACGCTCGCAACTATTGCAGAAGGAGATGCATGGAAACCGTTTCAATTGAAACTTCTGTGAAAAACGACTGGATTAAAGAGCGCCTCGTCAGAGACAATGTAAGAATAATTTGTCAAGTTTTCCAGCCAAATTGCTCAATATCAATCGATTTATAGGTGAAATACATTTGGACTTCTGGTCGCAAATGCGATTTTAAAGGTTGCGACCGTCCCGACTTGCAACCCACCGACATCAACGGCTGGTTCTGGACCGGTACTCTGGAAAAGTTGGCACCCAGCACCCAAAGAGATCAAAACGACTGGTCGCCCACTGGCGGAATCGGCCTTCCTCAACCTGACAACCGCGAACCCAAACAAGGAGGTGCCCAAGAAAATTGCCTGGCCGTACTGAACCAATTCTACAACGACGGAGTCCATTGGCACGATGTCGCTTGCCACCACGTCAAGCCTTTTATGTGCGAAGAAAGCCCGGAACTTTTCAGACTTGTGAAATTTTTGTAGACGACGACTTGTTAGTTTTAAATGTTTTTAATTTTTTTTTTGTACTGTATTTGATTTCGACTAAAAGTAACTTTTAATAAAAAATTCTTCTAGGTAGTCTAGTCTTTTTTGTTTTAATGGAGTATTCACTTCTTGATAAAATTTAGAAAAATTGCGAATTCGGTACTTAAGTGTAGCATCATGAGCCAGTTTTCAGAATCAGAAAGCTTTAAAGGGAACCCAACTCAGGTAGCACACAAAGTCTTTAAAGACGCCTGTATTGAAAAGAGATTTAAAGAAGTCTTTAAGAAATCTCGCTGAAGACGTCTTTAGAATGTAGTCCTGAAGACGTCTTTAGGCAGACTGAAAAAGGTTATGGGTTTTATTGTAACATACGACATCCTTAAAGACATAAGCAATTCGCTTCAAATGTCGTTTGTGAACATTTTAGATGGCTACAAAAATTTCCCACATAATTCGTTTCTCATCCATTTCATTAGAACCATCAAGTTTCAGGAAATCATTTAGAATTCTACGGAACACTTTAGAATTTCAATAAGCCTTTTGGAGAGTTCAAAACAGTTAACATTCAATTCAAAATTTCCATAAGCATTCTGTAACGATTATTCAGAACAATTTGGAAACTTCAGGACCCAGGACCATTTTAGAATACCTAATGCTCCAGAACATTCAAAAACCGATTTACAATTTCCGAAAGCATTTTAGAACAAGAAGTTTGAAACCCATTTTAGGACGCTCCAAAACACTCCAGAATCTCCAGAAACATTTTGAAAAGCCCCAGCATCTCAGGATTCAGGTTAAAAGTTACAAAACGCCTTTCAGAAGGCTTCTAAGAGCGAATTTTTGATTGCTGTAGAACGTTTTTGGAACCATCGAGAAATTTCAGAGTTATTTTAGAACTCTTTCGAACCATTTAGAACCATTTGTATCTAGCTTCAATATATAGGTCTCTACAATACTTAAAAATCTGTTAGAACAACTTAGAAATTACTGGAAAACTTCTAGAATGCTCCAAGCCAAGTTAGAACACTCTAGAACTTAACAATAAGTTATTTAGAACGTTCCAAAACACTTTCCAGCAGCATTTTGAAAGGCTTCAGAACAATTTAAAAAACTCAGAATCATTTCAGAGAGCCTATACCTATCGCCTTCTGGAATGGGCGAAAATTGAAAGCTATAAAATAAGTAATAATTTCCATATTAGAGGGGATGCGTAGGTATACTTGAATTTTTAATTTGAACAAAATTAGAAAAAAATATTCTTCTTAACATGTGCGCAAAAACATAATTTTGCGCACCCATTAGGAAAACTACTATTCAAAGGACACTTTTTATGGGCTTTCTAACCGCGGTCAAATTCAACCAAATTTTAGTATGTTATAGAATCTCATCTTTCTGATCAATCAACTACCATGGGCACAACTTAATTCTATGACTAGTTTTTGAGATACAGGGTGTTCAATGTGTGAATGTCCGATATGCATTATGACATCCTATTCAATCAGTTATTTGTGCTCGAACCATAGGTTCATTTACAGGGTGTATAGGTTTTTCATGTTATATTTAGGATGACGTCATCGAACAAGGACGGACAATGTTTGTCAATGCCTATTTTTTTCTTATAATTTACCTACCAGAATTTTATGTGTCACTAAGGGCGGGTATTATAAAACTGCTTTGACAGTTAACTTGAAGTTAACTTTTTGAATTACATGTAATTCCAGAAGATAACTTTAAGTTAACTCTCAAAGTAGTTTTATAATACCCGCCCTAATTCTGACGACAGCTAAAAATAACGAAATGAAAATGTTTATACAAGTCAAGTCATGCAACGTCGCGCGCCGTTGCCAATCAAAAACATCTGAAATTCCCCTACTTATTTAGATGCGTTAAAAAGTACTTTTAGTTTTGTTAGGTTGGCAGCAGAAATTCACTAAATGTGACGTCATCCTAAATATAGGGTAAAAATCCTACACCATTTTGGTTGTACATAAGGAATTACTCGCGGTTGCTATTGGAGTTGAAAGGATGCGGTTTTTGCGAACTTCGGCTACTTTTTTGTCAAACGAAAGATGGCGCCAACAGAATAGCATGTAATATTGACAGTTAAGTTATAGAGGACGCTTCTGAACTCGAAGCACTTTAAATTTTGACACTAATAACCGAGTAGAATTTTAACCTCGAGAGTGCGTTCGAAAAAGGGTTGAATTTTACCCACGGGTGGGAGTGGGTATATGGGATCAGAAGAGTAAATTTATCTGGTGTGTTTTCGACCGCACTGGGGCGAGTTCAGGAATGACACACTCAGTGTGAGTGTGACACCGGTGCGACGCACTAGCCGTTCATAAATGCTATAGGCACACCGAGTGCGCGCACTCTGTGCCGTTCAGAAAGTACTTTGGGCGCGCTCCAGGTGTCGCACCGGTCACACCATAATTTTTTGGTGTGGCTGCGGTGTGATTGTGTCTTTATGTCAACAATGTCAACCATTCCTCCCATAATCTCAATAATCTCACCAAATATAAACCAAACACAAATAAGAATTAAAGTTTTTCCTTCAAATTAAAAAAATGAACAACAAAAAAAAGTAATCCTAATAGATTTTGTGACATTTTTGAGGAGATGCTCGATTGGTCACACCAAGCGTTCAGAAATTCATACGAAAGTTGTCGCCTAAGAATTGTCATTTCAGTCACACCTATAAAATCGCACTCACACCCGGTGTGTTATTTCTGAACTCGCTCCACGTGTATGATTATAATCTAACATAACATAAACATAACATTCAGGCCCAGCGTTCTGTGTATTTCATTTATCTGTTTGTACTGTTTGTTTTGTTTCACAAGGGTTTGTACTTTTGCCCTCCTTTTTTTACCAAATAAAAATTAACTGAAACAAATTGATGACGTCAGAAACGTTCGTCGGTTTTTAAACCAGATGTCATTCAATTACATTACAAAATCTACTGAACACTATCGAATTTATATGAATCAATCTACATTCTACGACAAACCTTTTTTTCTACGTTATAACCTTGTTATAACTTCCGAGAAACGGAAAATGGAATAAATAAATCTGACACATCTGAAAGTAGTAGATAGGCAATTTTTCGCGAGGATAATCAAGCATAATCTGATTATGCTGGGTTAAATATTATGTGATGTGTCAATTATGTCATATTCCCCTAACTCCCTCGCCATATTCAAAGCTCGCCATCAAATTCCCGGCCTGCGAGTGACGTCACTATCAGCAGCTTGTAGGGTTGTCACCCGCAGACATAGATAGAATGCGTGCGATTCGGGCTGTGCTAGGGCCGGTTTCTCAATAGCGAGTCACCTTCGGGTTAGTTATAACTCCAGGGTAAGCGTATCCAGTTGCTATAGGTTCGTTCCAACCCCCCGTTTTCGTATTGTCATGAAACGGTTTCGGAACTGTTAGGATCGATTGCAGGCGCATGCGTTGACCTTGCACGGTTTTATCTTGGTACAGAAACAACGGGTAGTTGGAACGGTTTCATGATCGTTTTCGTAATGACGACAGTTCAAATAACTTTAATCCTAAATTTGTTTGTTTGCAAATTAAAATAGAAGAATATAGGATTAGGATTACAAAATAATATATAAAAAAGGAGAATCGAACACCAACGCTGATTCATTATGAAGAATCTGAAACTGAATCCTTGCAAGCTGATAACATCAAAGATTAGCAAATAGCTGATAATAAATTTTGTACTTTTTTTCACTTGAAAAAATAAAAATGCTACAGTTTTATAAGTTAGATTGGAAATTGGTTGTTTAACAACAACATGAACAACAACAACAGGTGACAAAAATTGAATTACGCATGTCAGTCATGGATCAGTCCACGCGGTTCTTGCTTTCCACTCGGGATCGAAATGACGGTGCTAAAACCAGTTCTCGAACGATCCCAGGTTTGGTTGGAACGCCAACGAAACTGTACGGTAAACGATCATCTCTCGGTTGGAACGCGTTTAACCTATGGCGCATGACTGTGACCGTACATTGAACGGTTTTTGGCTGGGTTGGAACGAACCTTATGTTTACCCTGGAGTTATGCTTATAACCCGGAGATGACTCGCCATTAGTTGTATTCCTTTCACACCTAGGACGAGCTCCGGAACAGCTCCGGGGCTTCACGCGCTTATTCCTTTCGAAAAGTGTTGCTGCACCACGCATCTGTTCCCTGCAAATTGGGGGCGACTAAACACCGGTGCGAGTAGCTCGAGTGCTTCAAACTTTTGAAAGGAATACAGCTAATGAGAAACCGCCCCCTAAGTGCGCGTTCACATTGACACCGCTCGAGCGGAGAGTGTTGCGCGATGCCGCTGTAGTGATGCCCAAAAATAATTTTTTCTACTTGCGTGCGCAAAGTAATTACTTTGCGCACTCATTTGCGTGCGCAAAGTTGAACTTTGCGCACGGGAACTCTTTGTGCACTCATTTTTGTTACGCATAATTACCATAGTTATACTTGATTTTTCAATGTTTTGATGGTTTCTGAATAAACTAATATTCATAATGAAGGGTTTTAGTTGATATTAGCGCTTAGTTAACATGATGTTTCCTATCAAAGGTGTCCAAATTGGACCAGCCTGTACTGCTAGGAATTTTTACAATTTTTGATATTTGAGAGACTCTCATGAAAATATTCTAGCTGGTATTCTAGAAATTCCAGAAGATGTTAAAAGATTTTTTGGGATTTTAATTTAAGACATTTTAAGGAATTCCAATAGATTTTAAACGATTTTTGAAGATTTTGATTTGATTGATTTTTCTAATATTGTAATAATTTAAAGTCTACTTTTTTAAGATATTCGTAGAAAAAATATTGTTCCTAACACTTGCGCAAAGTGTCTTTCCCGCACTCAAAGCTTATCCGAACTCCGCTTCGAGTCGTTCGTCTAACTGCTTTTTCGTGCGGGAAAGTATCACTTTGCGCACTTGTTAGGAAAATAACTATTAACATTATACTTCAAATGAACATGTTCACACTGGAGCGGCGCGTCCCACGGTGTTGGGATTGTTGGGAACTAAGTTCAAACAAACCTACTAGTGATCGAAAAGGTGAAAACGCGGATTACTATAGATATTTTTACGAAAACTCCAGTGGCGTAGTCATTTTTTTTCTAGAAGTGATAGTTTTTGATTTATGAACCAAACATATAAACCCTTTTCACGTGGCTCCGGTTTAACAAACCGCAACATACCGCTCAAATTCGGAAATTCGAGTGGTAGGTATCCATCACGTCACTTTGTAACCGGGTTAGAAAACGGTATGTCATTTCTCTAACCGTTTTGTAACCCGGTTAGTTAAACCGGAGCCACGTGAAAAGAACTATCGGATGAAACAGATCTATATGACGTCACAGGCACAAAACTTGTTGACAATCAGCTGATTCCTTTACATAACCTCAAATATTTTCGTATTTTGCTTTTCAGTCTAGTTAAGTTTAAAAAGCAGACATGGAAACAACAAATTTAAAATTACCAGCACGCGAAGGAAAATAATTAGATTTTCCTGCCAATGTTTTCGAATAAAATGAAGTGGTTCGATACCAGCAACTGGCTAGTATTGTCCCTGATCCTGAGCATTTTCGGCTTTTTAAAAGAAATCCGGCCGTCCGAACCGTTCATCTACGAATTTCTGATCGGAGAATGGCGAAACCTCACAGAAGAACAGGTCAACCAGGAAGTTTATCCTGTGGGCACCTACAGCTATTTAGGTTTACTTGTAATAGTGTTTCTTATAACCGATATTTGTCGTTACAAGCCTTTGATTGTGTGCTTGGGATTGTCTGGGATTGTGGTTTGGAGTATGCTGTTGTGGACGAATAGTCTGGTTGAATTACAAATTCTTGAGGTAAGAATTCCATATTGATTTTTGCAATTCTGTATTATTAAATAATTGTCCATGTATTTTTTTTTTTAAATAAGGAATGGTGAATAATAATTTCAATAAATTCCAGTCAGTTTAATTCCTGGTATAATCGAACTTCTTATCAGTGAGATTATTGTGAAAACTAATAAGCTACTTTTAATTATTTTTTTATAGCTTATTGTTGTAGGAGGTAAGTATATCATATTAACTTAATCCTAATAATAAAAGCCTAAAGCAAACATACAATAAAATTGAGTAATAGGCAATTAAGTAGATACTTGAAAAGTTTCCCAATTTTGTATAAAATTGTTAGATATGTAAAGTTAACTTTACAAAACAAGTAAAAAGAAATAGCAGGGTTGGCAAAATCCAGCTAATTGTATTAGAGTGGATTTTTAATGTTTTTGGTGGATATTTTGTGTTTTAAAACTTATCATTCTCTGGCAAATGAGATATTTACAGAGGTGTCAAAGATCACTTTAGAACATTTGGGAGATTTCTGATAAGTTCTAGAACATCTCAGCGCTTCAAAATCATTGAGGCACCAATTAAAAACTTTAGAAAGCATTTTGAAAAGCTTCAGAATGTGCTAACCTGCTTTAGAGGATTTTTAATTCAATTTTCAATCCTCCTGCATTTGTTTGAGAAAAATTGGAATCTTCAAGAACATTGTAAAACGTTACAGAACACTTTAGAACCAATTTGGAGTTTGAGAGACATTCTAGAACAGACCAGAACACTTGTGAACTTTCAGCAACATTTTAGAAAGCTTTTGGAACACTCCAGAACACTTTACGAATTATATGGAACTGTTGGAAACAATCTGGAACTGGAAACTTTATGAATATCTTCAAAATCGTCACATGAGACTTTAGAACTAACTTAAAACTTCCATGAACATTAGAACAATTTAAACCACTGAAATTATTTAGAGCTCGATTTAGAGTTTCAATTACAACTACCAGAAAGTGTTTAAAAATATTTGGGAGATTTCTGATAACCTCTAGAACATTCCTGCGATTCAAGAGCATTAAAAAGCCAATTGAAAACTTTAGAAAGCATTTTGAAAAACTTCAGAATGCGTTCTTGCCAATTTTTGGACCATTTTTTAAGCATTTTGAGATGTTCTAGAGCACTATAGAATAAATTGAGAACTTTGACAAGCTTCAGAAAACTTTTATTTCAATTTTCAATCCTCCTGCATTTGTTTTAGACAAACTGGAACTTCCAAGCACATTGTAAAATGCTACAGAACACTTTAGAATCAAATTAGAATTTCAGAAGCATTCTAAAGTGGACCAGAACACTTCCGAACTTTCAGGAACATTTAAGAAAGCTTGAGATACTGTAGATTTTAGATTTAGATCCAAATCAAAATTTCCAGTCCAGAAGTATTTTGGAACACTCTAGAACACTCTACAAATCATATGGAACTATTGGAAACAATCTAAAAATTTTCCTGTGAACTTCACACACCTGAAATTATTGACACTATAGCAGAATTTGAATGATCAATATATTTTCTAAATTAGTTTAAAGAGAAAACTTAATTTACCTAATCAATTTCAGACATCAGCTCTGCTTTTTGCCTTCAATAATTCATTAGCCCTAAATTATTCATTCAAAAAGCTCCGCATGAGTAGGCTAATTGCAAAGTCAATGAAATCCAGACAGAACCTACCCACTTATTGTTTTTTTTTTCTTTCATGTTTCAATATATGTAATGTATACCTAGTTTATTTGTTCATAAACGATCGCCGATTTACTTTAACTAAAATAAAGTCGCGGTCAAGGATTTATTTTTTTGACCTTGCACAGATTGTTACATAAAATTGTTCAAGTTCGTTTTAGTAATAATGACAAGCGTTATTCGAATAATTGGCCATTTAATAATAAGAACTATTGTTTGGGTTTTGTTATGATCATGATAAATAACTCAAAAAATCGACTGTATGAAAATAATTTACTGGAAAACTGGAGATATTAATTACTTAATGTTTGGCCTTTGGCCTATACAGGTTTTTTGCTTTATGAATTTGGAATTTTTACACATAGAGTATTCAGAAAATCGCCAAATAAGGAACAAAATCAATAAAAATTATGCAATCCAAGAAACTTAAATTAACTGTTTTTGAATTTTCTGAATATGGATAGTGGATACCTTTGAATAAAGTATTAGAGGAACCAAGAGGAGTGTTGAAAAATCTCAAAAGAAATCGCGTGATGACATCCAGAAGATTGCTGGAAGAAATTGGATGAGGACAGCTATGAACAGACAAAAATGGAAAAAGCCTATATTCAGGTCCAGTGGATCAGAACTGGCTAATAAGAAGACGAATAAGAATTGTTTTTTTCCTTGAGTTTTTGTATTAAATTGAAGCATAGACCGAATTGTAGAAAATTGAAAATTTAAAAAATCATATTTTTTTTTTCTATCAGAGATAAAAAGCAGAAATTTTGAGCGATTCTTATCCTAGTAGAGGACTACAATCCCTGAAAATTTCAGCTCATTTGGACCCATAGTTCCAGAAATAAAATCGTGTTAAGCAATTTGGGGTGATTTCATAAAATCCGGTTCCAAATCTCAGACTACTTAATTCAGTGTATTGACTTTAGGGGGTCCCGAATGATCAAAATCATGAAAAAATTTGAAATTTCATCATTTTAGTAGGTACTAAGGTAGCTGATTCAGATTTTTGTAAACTTAAAAAAAGTATTAGTTTTTTTTCTATTAGATGAAATTTCTCGGAATTCCACTAAAATTTTATGTAATTCGAAAGAAATTACTTAGAATTTCACTAAAATTTAATTCAATTCTTCGGAATCCGCCGAACTTTCTCATGGTTCCATGGAAATTTCACGGAAATTCTGTTTAATTCCAAGGGAATTCTTCGGATTCCATTTAATTTCACTGGAATTCCACAATAAGATTTCAAGGAATTCCATGTATGTAATTCGACGAGAATTCCTTGGAATTTTACTCGACATTTCATCGAAATTTTATGTAAGCCGACACAAAGTGAAATTATACACATATAATTTTATGGAAATTCTGCGAATATTTCATTTTTTTTTTTTTATTTTTTTAGAAATCCCACTGAAATTCTCCAAAATTCTATAGAAACTCCAAATTCTATAATTTTTTTAAACCATTACTGAAATTTCCCAAAACTTCACCACTGAAATATCCTGGAATTCCACAAAATTGTCATAAAATTTTTCAGAATTTCACTGACATTTCCTGTAATTTCTTAGAAATTCCTCGGAATTTCACTAAAATTTTATGAGAATTTTTTGAAATTTCACTGAAATTCCACGTTATTAGTCGAAATTTTTTCGAAATTTCAATGAAACTTCAAAATATTTTTTCTGCGATTGACAAGAAATGTCAGCATTTTTGACCGGTTGACAGGTCGCAAGACTCAATATTCTGGTATTTTAATTATGTTTCAATGGTTGCTAAGGAATCAATGACAATATGGGAAAGTGATTCTCGTACTGCTGAATAATTGGAACAAAAAGACAAACATTTAACAGATATTTAACCGATCGCAGAAAAAATAGTATGTGTATTTCGGTGGAAAGGCACATTCTCGGCCTTCGGTGTTTGCCGGCCTCGGCTACGCCTCGCCCGTCAAGTTACACCGTCGGCCGAGAATGTGTCACTTTTCCACCTAAATACACAATATACTATTTCAAAAATTTCCATAAGAATTTTTTGGAATTTTTCCGAAATTCTCTTTCAATAGTCAGGAATTTCTGAGAATAATAATGAAACTTCAAGTAGGTAATTTCTTGAAAATTCACCGAAATATATTTAAATTTCATATCATTACATAGGAATTTTTCCAAATTTCACCGAAATTTTAAGTTTTTCGCCGGAAATTCCTCGGAATTCCATTTGTGAAATTATCTTTAATTTTACTAAAATTAAATAATTTGATGGGAATTTTTCGGAATTTCAATTTAACTAAAATGCCATATTTTTAACTGGGAATTCCTGGGAATAAAAATAAAACTTTTCGGAATTTTACTGGAATTCCTTATGAAACGATAAGAGTTGTTCAAAATTCCACTTAAATTTCATGTAATTCCCTGACAATTCCTCGGAATTCATGTAATTTTTTGAAGCTTTTTTAAAATTCTTTATGTAATTTAACGAGCACTGAAATTTCATGTTCGGAATTTCGGTGTTATTCAATGTAATTGTTTAGAACTCCTCCACGCAACTCATCCAGGATTTCATGTAATTCAATCGAAATTCCACTGAAATTTTATGTAATTTCTCGAAATTTCATGTAATTCGAGAGGAACTAAAATTTAATGTGAATTCTATGGAAACTCCGCAAAAATTTCACATGTCACATTTCACATTTCATAAGGTTGGAAATTTTTTTTCGCTGTTGAGTTTTTGTATCTTATTGGTCCTTTGGGATTCCCCAAACTCCATCCAATAAATTCTCAGATTTGAAGCCGGAATCTATCGAAAAAGGACGTCAGAAAAATTGAAAAATCTCCCGAAATTGCTTAATATGATTTAATTTCTGAAACTATAGGTAAGTCCTAAGTCCTCGGGTAAGTCCAAATGAGCTAAAATTTGCAGGGATTGTAGTCCTCTACTGGGATAAGAATCGCTGTAGCTACCTTATGATTTATATTTGGAAAACTTTGGAAGGTCATAACTTTTTTTCTATTAAAGATAGAAAGCTGAAATTTTCAGCGATTCTTATCCCAGTAGAGGACTACAATCCCCCGTTTTAGCTCATTTGGACTCATAGTTTCAGAAATAAAATCGTGTTAAGCAATTTGGGGTAATTTTTCAATTTTTCTGAGTGCCTTTTTTCATAGATTCCGGCTTCAAATCTGAGAATAATTTAATGTATGGAGTTGAGGGGGTCCCAAAGGACCATAAGCACACAAAATCCCCGACAAAATCTCAGTAAAAAAAAGTATTGAAATTTCATCGTTTTAGTAAGAAGGTTTTGGAAAACTTTGAAAGGTCATAACTTTTTCTCTATTCAAGATAGAAAGCTGAAACTTTTAGCGATTCTTAATCCAGCTTCAAATCTCAGAATAATTTAGTGTATAGAGTTAGGGGGTACTCAATGATCATTTAAATAAAAAAACTAAACATAAAAAATTATTCAGAGATTAAGGTATTTCAACTTTTGATTAGAAATTTGAATTTGAACCAGGCACTATAATTAATTAATAGATCCAATAAAAAAAATACACTAAGAAGCAATAAATTTCTATTGTGCCATTGTCAGTTTTCATTGGACAAAAAAAATAACTGCTTCAATGAAGTACGACATTGGCTTAAGTAGCTATAAATCTTAATTTGACATTAACGTAATAGGTTTTTACTTATAATACATAGCTGTGAGATTTTACATTGAAGCAAATTGCGAAGAAAACAATGAAGTTGTAATATATTTTTTAACAAAACTATAGTCTCATTTTGAAGACATTGAGTCCCGACTACAAGATATGTCTAACTATGCAGATCGAAGGTGAGGATTGTCTCATGGATGATTAGTTAAAATCGAGATTAGATCACCCTTAAATCTCTTCTCAACCCAATTTTGAGTTTAGAACAAAAGGAGACAAATCTGATTGAGATTTTTATGTCATTCTTGCTGACTCGATACAATATGCATCTAATTTTTTTCTGTACATCCTGAAAATTACAAATCAATATTATAAAACACTTGTTTTCCCAGTAATTGTTAGATAAACAAATCGCGTGTTTATTACTTCCCATTTATTACCTATTTTGGATAAATATTTAAAATGCTCATGGCCAAGGAAAATATTTTTTTTTTAACAAGTAGTGCATGTTTGACCTTGCCTTATCATTAAACCATAAAAATACAGTAAAATCAAAAAGAAAGCACAACCATTTCGATTTGCTCCCTGTAAATTTTCATTATTGTCAGAATTTCAAAGACATTGTAATGAGTGCCGCAATATAGGAACAAAATGTACATAAATTTAAAATTTTGAGTAGCAATGCAGGTAGAGTCAATTCGAATGCAGTGGTTTAATTGAATTTTAAATCATTTGCTGGTTTTTTAACCTGTATGGGATTTTGAAACTTTTTAAACTTAGATTGAAATAATTATGATTTCAGTTTTTCTATGGTGCATTTGCCGCTTGCGAAGTCGCCTACTTCACCTACATTTACGCCAAAGTCGACAAGGAGTACTACCAACAAGTGACTTCTCATACCAGAGCAGCTATTCTAGCAGGAAGATCGATTTCGGGCATTTTGGGCCAAATTTTAATATCCTTCAGATGGATGGACTATAGGCAATTGAATTATATTACTTTCACAGGTAATGTAACTAATACGGCAAACAACCACCTATCTGTAAGCTATTGTTTCAGCTATGATTGCAGCTACGCTCTGGTGTCTATTTCTACCGCCAGTAACCAAATCTATTTACTTTCACCAAGACTCCACCGGTCAATTGTTGCTCAAAGACAAAACTAAGGCAGCTTTTAGACTTATGTGGAGGCACTTAAGGAGTGCTTATTCGAGCGTTTACATAATCAAATGGTCTTTGTGGTGGTCGCTGGCTACTTGCGGTTTTATACAAGTTCAAGTTTACATGCAACCACTTTGGGTTGCTATAGTCAACGACCCGAATCAACCTGTTTATAATGGCGCAGTTGAATCTATTTTAACTGTGCTAGGGTTTCTAGGAGCTTTAGCTGCTGGGGTTTTGAAGGTGGATTGGACAACCCGAGGAGAACTGGCTCTTACTTGTTGCTCACTTTTACAAGGTTTTATGTTGCTCATAGCTTCGCAAGCAGAACAAATTATAGCCAGCTACATTTGTTATGTCGCTTTTGGGGCCCTTTACCACCTTACAATTACAGTAGCCAGTAGTGAAATTGCTAAAATGATCGACGAAGATAGTTATGGTTTAGTTTTCGGACTGAACACGTTTTTCGCTTTGTTATTTCAAACGATTTTGACAATGGTGGTGGTCACCAGCGGTATCGGGTTCGCTTTGCCGCCCAAGAAACAGTATTTTGTTTATGGGGTTTTGCACGTGATTCTAGGATTTATGTATATTATAATCGGGTTGGTGTGTTGGATGAAAAGTAAGAGGGATTATAGGAGAGCCAGTACTGTACCTGAACCACCTTCGAGAACAGTGGTAATTTATTAGTAGACTGGTAACAGTTTTGGCATATTTGAAGTTCCTTTTTTAAGCGTGCATAGATCTTTGTCATTTTAAAAAGAGCTGCTCATTATAGTTCTTTGAATGTAGCAGAAGTAGAAAAATTAAGGTGTGCTAATTTTGTTTGACGCACATTAGAGTTCTCTATAAAACGTAGACAGCTCTTAAAAAAAATCGATCTTTGCCGTTATACTTTCCTAGTGAACCATACTGGAAAAGACGAAGAGATTTCTCTCTTAAGAGGAACAAATAGGCTGATAGCCTGTTCTAATATTGCATAAAAATTTTCGGTTGCAATGTCAATATTTCCCTCCAGTACTAATTCCCAATTTATAGGAGCCAAAACACTTTAAGAAATACAGGTCTTCGTTCTCTCTAACTTGAAGTGTGCAGCAGTAACTCCTATTATGATAACTATAAGGAAAAAGTGCATCATCAGCTATGTTGATGCAAAAATCAGAGTCCCCAGAGCAAAAAATTAAATCCAAATATTTGTTGTGGAGGTTTGGGATATGATTCTTCTGTTTTAGGCCGAAAAAGCAAAAACGCGAATTGTTTCTGCAGGATAACTGCTGGAACATTGTACTAGCTGTTCACCTGCATCTGACAAGAACCAAACAGCGGAGGGCAGATTATAGTCACCAAATAAACAATCGGATGAACAAGAGTAATTGCGAATTATGTTTTCCACTTTGCTGCAATGGTTAGCATAAATTTGGTGGAATATAAACCACTCCAAATCACCTTAGCAAATGTAAGTTGAACAAAAACATGTTCAACTGTGTTCATTATGCATGGAATGAGCAATGAAGTCAACATGTTTTTAACACAAATCATAATTGGTTATTTGTTCCCTGTCCAAGTGATAAATGTTATAGTTGGGAATACCAAGCTCGGCATCATTAAATTCTGTAGTTAATCAAGTCTCAACTATAATGATCACATCAAAAAAAGAAGCTGCGGCATCCTTAGCAAAGTCTCGAAGTTTTGACTTCATCCCACCAACATTATGGAAGTAAATAGAAAGCTTTAGCTTATTTAGTTTTTTGGTACGGCTCAAGTGGACTTTATTATTGCAGGAGTTCCATTCTAAGTTCCATATAAGTTTTAAATTGCTCTATTTACTCAAATTTGAATAAGTTTTTTGCTATAGTCCCAGGCATGAAATTAGCACCCTTAATTTTAACTGCTGCTACAGAACTATTTCTAAAAATTGGAAGAAAACTTACAATGATTCTCTTTTTCTCTTCAACAGGGTACACTAGGAGTATTATAAGATAGAAGTGTCACACAAATAAAAAACGCACTTATCTTTCAAGCATTGACTCAAAAGTATCAGTATTTTGAATTGAGCGCACAATATTCTGTAAGATTCTATAAATTTGGCTGTGAGTTAGTAGTTAGTAAGTTATTAAAACTACAATAAAAATTTAAAAAAAAATCTATTTTTTCAAAACCCCTTTGTTCCTCAAATACTTGACAATAAACGGCACAGAGCCCAAAGTTATTGTTATCCTAACTGGAGCAAACACTTTATGTATAGCGTAAGCCACTGCGAAGGTTCCAGCATTTGAAACAAGCATAGTATTGCCTTTGACATACTCTTGCAGTTTTAAGGTGGTTAGTAATTGTTCCACATCCAAGCCTGTTGAAACTAAGGCATAAGAAGTGCCCAGGGACATTAGTGAGATGCCTACGTGGAAAACTATGACTGTGGTTCCGTATTCTGTTACAGCTTTTTTAAGTTTTTGAGCATTGCTTAATGAGACAGTGGCTTCATCTTTGATTGAAGAACTGGAGTGTCTTGTTTGGGTTGCCGCTGCCAGGCATACTCTATGAATCTGTATACCTGAAACAAGCCTAATTTATAATTTATACTTTTTTTTTAATGAAGTGGGGCTTACAATTTTTTGCTGCATGAAGTGATGGCCTTAGAAAATACATTTTGATTAATTATTATTATAAATATTTACAAATTGATTTTCTAGTTATAAGTTTTCTTCTTGGCTGGCCCATTAATGTTTCTGGTAATAGTAATTAGAAAATAATTATTAAAACATTTTTGATTTGAGTACAAAGTTTGAATGAAAGTTTGTTTACAAATTGATTGTCAAAGTCAGCTGGCGCACTAGGGGCTTTCGGAAATCATGACCCCAGATCAGTTGGGTTTTAACTGTTCACTCCGAGCTTTGATTAAATTGATACATGAACATTATTTGCTTTTTTTTAGGCATATTTTTGTTTATATAGTTCCGTTTATTTTGAATTGGGAACTGTTTCCTCCACTCTAGAGTCTCTACTCTTCTTAAAGTGACCAACTTAAAAAACTAAAATAAAAATCTGACAGTGTGTCTGTATGTCAAGTGTCAAGTCAAAGTTGCAACCTCCTTTCCATTCCATTTCTTGTTCTTCTTGTCTCTTGACTTGAATTGTCTTGTGTTTTTTGTGTGAAGTGAAAATGTGTTGAAAATGTTGATTTTCCGCTAATATTTTTAATTTTAATTGTTTTATTAGTTTTCCCTGCTATCGAGTTAATTTTAATCGATAAATTGAGATTGGACAGGTGAGTTGTAATGGCTATTTTAACAATGTTTAATTCTGAACCACCCATTAGCTGTGGCGGCCACTCGGGCGGCCATTTTTCTTTTTCCCATAAATTTCAAGTTTTTATTATATTTGTAGTAGAAACGGTCAAGAGCTTGTTTTAGCTGATATTTTATACTACTGGGCAAAATTGGGTTTATTTTTTCAAATTCGAGAACAGAAATTATAAAAAAAATATAGGTACCCATATCAACACTATTTTGATTTGAGTTGTCAGATTATCGATGATTTCCAAAGATTGTCTTTAAATTACTGGATTTTATTTTAGTTTATTGTCCGCACCACAGCCTATAGTACTTTTAGTTGTACTAAAATAGTTTTTGGTGATCAGAATGGGTCTATGCCTTGACCTCATTTTAGTTTTAAGAAATCGCGACGGTCAGTTTGGCAACATCGTATTGTTTAATGTAGAGGAGGGCTTATCGATATTCATAACTATCGTCACGATATTAGGCAATTTTTCGCGAGGATAACTGAGCATAATCTTTTGCTGGATTATGTGATGTCTCAATTGTGTCATACTCCCCTCCTCCCTCAAAATCTGGGATACTCGAGGATCAAGACTCGGATCAAGAACACTTAAATTCTTCTGTGAGAACAGACCGAAAATACCCTTTTCTACATTTAAAATCGACGAAAAAATTAATTCATTAGCACAGCTTGAATCGCAAGCATTCCATCAAGGTCTGCGGGTGACGTCATCACCAAGCCGACGATATTGACTTCACTCGCATGCCCAGAATTAGGTTGAGAGGGAGTTACGGGAGTATGACACAATTGACACATCACATGACCCAGCATAATCAGATTATGCTTGATTATCCTCGCCAAAAATTGCCTATAATCTGATTATGCTCCTATGTTATGTGTCAATTGTGTCATACTCCCCCAATTCCCTCTCCATCCAATTCTGGGCCTGCAAGCAACGTCACTATCAGCAGCTTATAGTGATGATTTTTTGAATACTCCTTTTTGATTTTTGAAATACTCCTTTTCAACAGGATTTATGATCTGGTTTAGTTTGAACTTAGTGAGACCCAACATGGATTTCTTCCTAAAAAATGTACATTGACGAACCTAGTATCCTTTTCCCAGTATTTGCATGACTCCTTTAATAATAAAACGCAAGTGGATGTCATCTTTACTGACTAATGGCTGGTTTATACAACATTTGCATAGTCGTAATCATAATCATAGTCTTAGTCTTAGTCTTAATCATAATCACAATTTTAGAAGGCGTTTATACAATGTCATAAGCATAAAATAAATTCAACTCTAACCCGACTTTTTGTAGGAAGAATTTGTTTACTTTTTGCAAATCGAACTCGTCTATTCACTTTTAATACTTTTTCAAAGTTTCAAAAAGTGTGGAAATTAAAATTCTGCGAAAGAAAACCATACAAGTGATAGGTCTGTCCTATTTATTTTTGAGTTTTGCTAATAAACACTTCAACAAACGCAAACCATAAACAAAGAAGGTGGAAAGTGAGTCCCATCAATGAAAAAAGGCAGAAGGAAGGGCATTTTGTCACATTATTCAAAGACATGTAGAAGCTCGATGGAGACCCTTTTTTTTTAAATACTCTAGAATGACTCAAGATCAATTTAAATACAAACAGAACTAAAATAGCAGATTTGAATTGTTTTTCTCCGTATCAGCTGATAATGGCGCTTGCGCAGTTTGGATCTCGTCTTAGTCATAATCATAAAGTTAAAAGTTGCCAACTTTGAGTTATGCTTATGCTTATGCTTATGATTATGATTTGTGTATAAACGGTTCCATAAGAAAATATTATTTTAACTCTTATGACTAAGACTATGATTATGATTACGACTATGCAAATGTTGTATAAACCAGCCATAAGGGTCAAACTTCGGACCTCTTTTGTTTGTCATAGCGATCAATGGGGTGTGTCAGGTGGTAGAGAGTTCTAAGTCATTATTGTTTGCTGATGACTTCAAATTGTTTTTGGAGATAGTAACCCTGGATGATTGTGACTGTTTACAGGCAGATTTGGATAGAGTTGTTGAGTGGTGTAATATAAATGGTTTTAAGCTTAATACTAAAAAGTGTTCCTCTATGTCTTTTTCTTTAAAGAAAAATGTTATTAATAAGCAATATACAATTAATGAAGAGGTATTAGTGACCAACTCGGTTCAAAAGGACTTGGGAGTACTGTTCGACAATTGCATGGGCTTCACTGATCATATTGTAACAAAAATTATTGAGGCACATAGAATATTGGGTTTCATTATCAGATCTACCAAGCTTTTTAATGTTGATGTATGTGTTAAGCTATTTGACAGTCTTGTGTTGCCATGATTGGAATATGGGAGCATAATTTGGTCACCCCATATGAGGTATGGTGCAAATCTATTGAACGAGTCCAGAGAAAGTTCTTAAAGTATGTTTTTTTGAAAAGGTTTGGCTTCTACCCTCCTCAGGGATTTAACCATAATAGACTTTTGAATTTGTTTAATAGACTCTCCCTGGAGAATAGGCGAATAAAAATGTGCCTAATTTACATTTATAAACTCATAAATAATAATATAAATAGCCCTCATATTTTATCTCAACTCCCTTTTTCAATAAATCGTGTCTACACCCGACAGAGAAATATGTTTTATTTGGACTTCCCTAGGACAAATTTGTATAAGAATTCTCCAGTTTACCGTATGTGCAATTGTTTTAATATTTACGCTAGCGACATAGATATAAACACTATTACTTTAAGACAATTTACTAAAATTATAAGTGAGAAACTTTTTATTTCCCAGGCTCAGGAGTAGACAAGTTTGTTTTATTTTTATTGTTAAATTATATAGTTGTTTTTTGAAAAATTTTTTGCTTGTTAGAGCTCCGAGGAAGCCTCATAAATTTAATGTGAAGTGTTCATGATTGTAACAATGTAAATTTTAAATTCCAAATAATTATTGTTTACTAGTTTTAAGCTCGGTATCTGTAATTGGCATGTGCTGTTGATACTGTATTAATAAATAAATAAATAAATAAATGATGTCACCCACAGACCTCGATGGAATGCTTGCGATTCAGGGTGTGCTAGTGAGCTAATTTTTTTGTCGAGTTTAAATGTAGAAAAAGTGATTTTCGGTCTGTTCTCACAGAAGAAATTAAGAGTTCTTGATCCTCGAGTATCCCAGAATTCGATGGTGGGGAAGTAAGGGGAGTATGTCACAGTTGACACATACCATCTGAGCATAATCAAGTATGCTTGGTTATCTTGACGAAAAATTGCCTATTCTATGAAAACCTCTTCTTGTGTCTCATATATCGATATTAGGTCTGTTTCTGCTTCTGCAGAAATCACAAACCAGTCAGAGTGGACATTTATTTTTATTTTTTTATTTATTTATTTCAACGGATATACCATTTACATTTGAACAATAAATGTTTTTACAATAATTTCATAAAAATCTATTTCATAGGTATAAACTTAACAAAAACTATTTTAATTTTATTTTAACAACAAACTTAAATTCTATTTTTTAGGAACTCATTTACTGTTCTATTGAACTGTCTAAGAGATACATTAAATATATCAATATCTAATGGACATGTTAATCTGTGACTGTAATGTCTATCTGTGTTAATATGTCATTGGCAATTTCTCACAGAATTAAGGCCGTGTTCGTCTTTGTCATCTTTTTCATCAATTTGTTCCGAAATTTTGACAGTTACATAATTTGTGTAAATTGAAACTTTCTGATTCAGTCACGTGCCTGTCAAATTGACAAAAACGAACACAGCCTAAATTGAATACCTACCTGTGTTATTACCTGAAAAGCTCGAAGGTGATTAAAAATGTTGTCAGATCAATTTTTCCAGTTGTGATTTAGAGATTTTCGAGGGGTTAACCACCAAAAGGGAAAGGTCCCATATTTGGGAATACTTTGGTGAACTTAGAAGTATTCCCAGTATTCTTTAGTATTCCTGGATATTTCCAAATTATTCCCAGTATTTCCTGGTAAATATTCTTGCCACAAATCTATATCTAATTAATATCACATTGGTGATTAAAGTTTAAAATTTTAAAGATAAAAACAATTAGATAAAATAAAAAACAAAAATATTATAAAATACCTATGTAAAAAAAAAACATATTAAATAGTTTCAAAAGAACAGGAACCTGGTAATTAGCAACATAGAACGGCCGATTCAAAATTAAAAGTTTAAATACTCCTCCACAGAATAGAAGGCTTTCTTTGCAAACATGTTTTTAAGTTCTTTACAGAATTTGCGATTTCGGCGGTTAGCCGGTCTGACGTCACAAGCTCCCACAAAATATGTCTTCATAAGGGATTTTTTCGAAAACTATTTTGAATGTAGGACTGCGGTTTTCACGAGAGATCTTAGATTTTTTCTCTTGATTCAAGTAGCTTAAGTTGTTTTTTTGGATCACACCCCCTTTAAGAGTTATTTTCACTACAGCATGTGATATAGGCGTTTGAGAAATAGCTGACTCAGAAAATAGTACATAAAATGTTTGCTAGTGAATTGTGAATTTGAAAGCCTTTTAATCAACAAGGAAATATTTGCCCTGAAGTCATACCTGTATCACTACACCTTTTCCGTAAGGCTGAAGACACAATGACAAATACAAGGTACAAGTGACAGATACAAAATACCAAAAAATCGAGATTTTGCATCTTGGCGTGGCAAGTAAGTTGTATCCTGTATCTATTTATTCTGCGTTATAGCATTGATATTCGTGTTATTATATTTTTGTCTCTTGTCACTCGTACCTTGTATTTGTTATTGTGCGTTCGGTCTAAGTATTTCAGATTCATCAATTCTACACCTTTTCCATAAGTATTCCCGATTCATCAATTCTAGTTCAGAATGCGTCAATTGTATTCCAGTTGTGTAAGTTCAATTTCAGAAAGTGCTATTTGTATTTCAACTTTGTTAATTGTAATCCAGAAAACGTCATTTGTGTTTCCTTTTCCTTAAGTACCTATTTCAAAATGTATCACTTGTATGTCAGATTCATCAATTCTAATTCAGAATGTGCCAATTGTATTCCAGTTGTGTGAGTTTAATTTCAATTTCAGATATATTTCAGAAAAAGTCATTTGTATTTCAGTTTGGTCACTTGTATTTTAGAAAACGTCCTTTGGGTTTCAGATTATTTATTTGTGGATCCGAAATTGTAAATTGTTTTTCAGAATTCGTCAAATGTTTTTCAGATGTTATCGATGTCCTACCTAGTGTACCTATTAAATAAAATTCATAATGGCTCACCTATACATCTAGCTGAACTACAATTGACTGTTACCGAAATAAAATTAACTAATCTTAAATACAATTGACGCTTTCCGAAATACAATTTACTGTGTTAGGCCGGCATTACCTAACTCCTGAGCCTACGCCTTGATTCTCAATGCTTTATACCTTATTCTTGATTCATAAGAAGATATAGGATTTTTACTCTATATTCAGGATGACGTCACATTTGATAAATTTCTCCTGTCAATATTTCCTAATTTCATTTTTGAGAAGCACCTTGAAAAGCTCACAACTCTTAACTTTTACAAATTAAGGAATAGAAACAAATACAAAAATGTAAAGTTTTACAGATAAAACGCGAATCTCTGGAATCACTAGACACAAATAAATAGTTTTTCACTTGCTACTTTTTATCTCGCCTTTTACCAGACTACTGCAAATTTGGAATTTGAGCATTAGAGCTCGGATTAGGGGCCTCAAAAAATTCAAAAAAAGCGTTAGACGACTTCATGGCGCTTGACGTCATCTCGGCCGGGATGGCATACGACGATTCTAATTGGTTGCGCATCACTTTCATAATGCGTTTCAAAGGTTAACAACAAATTTTTATAAACCATTGTGTAATGAATAAACAAAAGATACCTAACACTTTTTACAAAATATTGCAATTTGAAAAAAAAATAAAAAATCATAAATAAGGAAGTTGAATTTCCACATTTACCTCTTTATATTTCCAAGAATGGTCGCGGAGGATTTTTTTTAAATATTTTTCCAGGGTTACTCAAAGGGTCCCCTATACTACGTAGTAGAGAGCTTTTACGCTATTTTTCGTACACCCTTAAGATGGAAAACTGCAATTTTCAGCGATTCTTATCCTAGTGGAGGACTACAATCCCTGAAAATTTCAGCTCATTTGGACTCATAGTTCCAGAAATAAAATCGTGTTAAGCAATTTAGGGTGAATTTATCAAATTTTCAATTTTCTGAGTCTTTCTCATAGAACCCGGCTCCAAATCTCAGAATAATTTAGTGTATGGAGTTTGGGGGGTCCCGAATGATCATTTAGACACAAAATCTCAACTTAAAAAAAATTGAAATTTCACCTTTTTAGTACTAAGGCAGCTACTTTATGATTTAGATTTTTCAAAACCTAAAAAAAATTGGAACTTTTTTTCTATTACAGATACAAAGCTGAAATTTCAGCGATTCTCATCCCAGTAGAGGACTACAATCCCTGAAAATTTCAGCTCATTTGGACTTATAGTTCCAGAAATAAAATCGCGTTAAGCAATTTGGGGCAAAGTTATCAATTTTTCAATTTCCTGAGTGCCTTTTTTCTGCCTCCAAATCTCAGAATAATTTAGCGTATGGAATTTGGGGGGTCCCGAATGATCATTTAGACACAAAATCTCAGCATACAAAAATTGGAAATTTCACTATTTTAGTACTAAGGCAGCTACCTTATCATTTAGATTTTTCAAAACTTAAAAACATCATAATTTTTTTCTATTAAAGCTAGAAAGCAGAAATTTTCAGCGATTCTTATCCCAGCAGAGGACTACAATCCCTGAAAATTTCTGCTCATTTGGACTTATAGTTCCAGAAATAAATCGCGTTAAGCAATTTGGGGTGAATTTATCAATTTTTCAATTTCCTGACATATTTTTTTCATAGATTTCGGCTTCAAATTTCATAATAATTTACTTGTTGGAGTTTGGGGGGGGGGGGGGGGGAATCCTAAATAAATACTTAAAGACAAAATCTCCAGCAAATTTTCACTGGTCCATTTTTCCACAGAAAACGTTGATCGAGGAGTTTGCTCCACACCATGGAGGCGCTGAACAGTCAGCTAATCTCCAAAGCGATCAATTTCCACGGCCAGCAACTCCAAAAAATCTGGGAGGGCGAGTTCGGCGAAAACGACCTGAGCCGTCGCAACATCAAAGATTTAAACTTTCAAGTGTACGGCCAGCGCCAGAAGAACTTGTCGTTCCAGGACCGCGGCAAGCGGCTCAAGCTGCAACAATTTATCGTGAAAAAGGCGAACGCTATTTTTTCCATGCAGCCTTCGATGAACAGAACTAATCCGGTGCCGCCTGCGTCTGAGGATTTGTACGCTGTTACGCCACCTTTTGAGACTTATATTAATGCTGATAGACAGAAGCGGTTGATATTTTTCTCTGAGGTGAGTTTTAGTTTTGGAGTCTTTGAGGTATTTTACTAATATTTTTGTTGTGGTTGTTGCAGAATGTTAGAGTGGGTGACCTTATTTTGGGTACAATTGTGAGCAAACAGCAATCTGGAATGATGCTGAAGGTTTTGTGTACCGCGGGTAATGACGGTATTGTCAAATATGCGGCTGATATCAATGTAAAGGTAAGAATTTACACCTTTACATATTCTTTGAAATTTTGTTTTTCTATTCTATTTTTGTTTCTTGTGTAACTTTTTGTTTATTCCAGGCTATTGGATTTTCTCTGTAAAGATTTTTATTACAAATTCCCTTTTTTTTTTTCTTAGGCATTTTGTCCAGTGGCAAATGTAATTCCGGCCGTGGACAAAAAAGGTGTCTCGCGCAGTTACATGATGAACGACTATGTCTGTTGCGAAGTGTTGGAAGTCATTGCGGACACTGATAAAATGGTTTGTGGCATGAAGGGCGTCACCAGAAAGCCGGGCGATCCCGAACATCGCCCCCCATTGGGTCTTATCAGTACCGACGAATTTCCAGCAGTTTATAAGTAAGTTATTTTATTGAATCTTTTTCAGTTGCGTGTTGTACTTTTCTTTCAGTTTGGAACAGGTTCTTTTTTCTCTGGTATTTTTTGAAACTCCATGTGCTGCCAATTTTGCCAGATTTTGTTTTTAGTTTACAGAAAATGATTTAATTGAAAATTTCAAATAAATGATTCCTTGAGCATGAAGCTTCAAGAACATCATGTGTGTTAAACTGATCATGAAATTCCCATTGAAATCAGATTAAGGATTATAATAAGAAAAACATTGGACGAAAAACTAGATTTGAATGTAGCAAGAAATTTAGTTTACCAAGATTTTCAGAGAAATCATAATATGTACTTTGAATGGAACCAATGAAATGTGGATTAAATAATTTTAAAGATCCTTTATAGGAACAACAATATCAATATTTTCAAGCAGAATTTTATGGGATAATTTGTTTTTTAAATTTATTGATAAAATACCCTAACAGGAATCCTAGGATGAAGCAAACACAAAAACTATCGAGGCTGAAAAATCAACTTGTTTTCCATAGAATGGATTTATTTCTAAGATTTCAGTTGAATCCTGTCTTCATAAAATACCATTGAGGGGTTTTTTGGAATGAACATAAAAGTTGTTAACAGATGATTTACTTGGCAAAATCCATCATAGAAGCTGGTGTCGGTATTTTGATTTTTAAGCTGTTTTTTATTTTTAGAAACACTTAGTGTACACACATTTGGAATTAAAAAAAAAATCGTTATAACTATAACATAGCAGTGGAAAAACTGTAACATCAAAATGCACCTGAATTATATAAGTATTATTAGTCCATCAAATCATTTAAGCTGTCTATAAAACATCAGGTGAGGCATTTATTGAGTAAATAAAAACGGGGCGGCCACTTGTTTAAATACCAAATAAGTAATATTTTCTTGTTGGCCGCCTTGTAAAATGAATGTACCATATTGCAAACAATTTTCTATTTTGGTGATGCTAAATGTTGATAAAGCCGTGTTTTTCGCAGCACCACCCTCCTCTTGATGACAAATTAAATGTATTTACAAAAATAGGATGATTTTTAATTAACGAAATGCAGAAAAACGATTTGTCCTATTAAAATCAGTATTTGAATTGACAAAAATTTCGTTGCAATTTACCTAATGAGAATAAATTTTGTAAAATGGGAAAGAGGATCCTCAATATGGTATGTATAAAAATGATAATGGTGTATGTGTAAAAAAAAAATCCATATTATAATAAGTCTTTTTAATGGAGGAATTATTGAAGATGAATGAAATATTTGGATTTATAATGTATTTTATGCTTTTCCGCAAAGGTAATTTAAATCTTACTGATTTGTTTTTTTTTTTTTTTTGGCAAACATTTTCTATAATGGTTCGATTATTTTGCCTTTTTCAGAAAATCTCTGGATCATAAAAATGAATCTTTCGAATCCGTTTTGGAGAAGAGCATTGGCTTCAACAATCCCAACAACATTCAGTATTTGGCCGACCAAATGGGAATCAATGAGAACCTTTCAATTGTTAATTCTTTGAGGTAAGAATTATTATCATCATCACCAGAAAAATACTGAACAAAAACGCCACAAAAATACAAAATAAAATTGTTAAAATTTTCCAGAGGGAGATATCCTGACAACGAATACGCTCCCGAATTACGTCAAGTACAAGCCAGCAAATGGGCCTACCGTAACGTGGCTGACGGTATTGACCATTTCAAAGCTGGCAAACATGTGGAAGCATTTCAATGTCTTAACAAAGCCCTGAACATCGATCCAAGGAATGTTGAAGGATTGGTGGCACGTGGCGCCCTCTACGCCAACAGTGGCAACTTTCAAAAAGCCATTGAAGACTTTGAAACGGCCCTAAAACTGAATCCTAGCCACGCAAATGCTAGAAAGTATATGGGCGAGACGTTAGTTGCACTAGGACGCAGCTACGAAGAGGAAAATAAGATCGATGATGCTAGGAAAGCTTATCAGAGTTGTCTTACTATTATCCCTTATCATGAAGAAGCTAAGGTAAGGTTTTTACTAATGAAATTATTATTTTTATTAATAGGCTTGTTTTAGAATTCCCTAGAGTTTTTAAAGAACAAAGAAAAACAGACCAGTAAAAATTTGATAGAGCCAACTGAATTGCTGTTGCCCAATTTGCCTCCATCTATAACCAAACCCGCAGCTGGCGGAAATGTCAATGATGCCCTGAAGCAACTCTTGAAAAACGAAGAAGAGGAAAAAAAAGACAAGAAAAAGAAGAAAAAGGAAAAGAAAAAACTAAAAAAAAAGCAAAGACATTCGAGCTCTAGCTCCAGTTCAAGTTCCTCGGGCAGTGGAGATAGCTCTGACAGTTCTTCGAGCAGCAGCAGCGATTCTAGCTCCTCAAGCGGCGATTCCGATTTTAAAAAGCACAAAAAGGCACGTTCCAAACGCGAGAAACGCGAACACTCTTTGAGCCCCCTGAGCAAAAGAATGGCAATGATGGACGCGCAGTCTCAAGAGGCTTCGACCAGTTTCAACTTCAATAAGCCAGCAGTGGCCGCTGGGAGCGGTTTTGAGTTTGGATTTGAGGCTCCTGTAAAGCCCAAAGGCCAGGACGAATACGAATTGAAGCTGAAGAACTTTTTATTGGAAAATAAAGACGATTCTGATTATGAAATAAAGGTAAATGGATTTTTGGTTGATTAGTGTTTGTTTGTAATTAAATGGTTTTTCAGTTGAGGAAGTTTTTGGAGGAGAGTGCTAAATGGAAAAAAGGTAAAGGTGATGATAAGAAGAAAAAAAAGAAGAAAGATAGGAAGGTGAAAAAAGAGAGCAAAAAGAAGAAGAAGAAAGAGAAGGAAAAGTTGAAGCGTAAAGGGTTGGACTTGGATTTGGATGATCACAAGAAATTGAGGGATGCTATTAAAAAGGAATTGAGCAAGGAAAAGAAGAAGAAACATACTGTTCCACCTGAGGAAGATGAATATTTTTTGCAAAAATCTGGGGTCTCCAAGAGGTAAGATCACTTACAGAAATCTAATAACTGATTAAAATTTTCATAACACACATTGTGTCTTCTTCTTCCAATTAAATAGATATTAAAACCAAGGCTAAAATTGGCAAAATAAATTAAAAACACTCCAGTTTAATACAATGTGTATTCATTTATACATAATTATTATTCACTTGTGACCTACGCCGAGTTGGACTTTTAGTTTTTAGGTTAATTTTGTTTTCTACTTGTAGGTGTATTATAATAGATTTAAAAAAATGTATACCCTATGAAAATATGCGGATTAAAGTGGAAACTAATAATTACACACATTTTATTAATAGCTACCCAGTAAAGTGATACAAAAACTGTTCATTATTCAAGTGTAAGTAAAAACCCGTGGTAACCTTATCATTAGAAAAAAAACGCTATCTCGTTTTTGTCTGATTTGATAAGTGAATTAACCACTGACGAGGAGAATGAAAATTTCATTAGTTCACAAGTAAATAAAAAGCTAAATAATTTGCAGGTTTATTGAAAGTCTGCCAGATTTGGAGGAACTGGAATCCAAACTTAATGCTTATTATGCATTGGAAAAGGAAAGCAAGAGGTAAATTATTTGATTATTATGTTTGAAGTGTGCATAATAGTAGCTCGGTTTCTGCAGAAATCACAAACCAGTCGGAGCGAATTTCATTGGTTGAAACTAGTTTCCTGACTGGAATGAAATTTGTTGGGACTGGTTTTGATTCCTGCAGAAACAGACCTAGTAGGTTAGATAAATACTTTTTTTTATTACTTATGTATTTACTCTATTCAAAAAAAAGTATGAATCTACAGATATTTACAAAAATAATTAGAAGGATTAGGGATTATGATAGTTCATATTCACAATAAACTGAGTAGATTTTTGTGAGTAGTTTGTATGGGTTTAGGAAGAGACCTTTCAATGTAAAGGATGACTTTTGTATTGTTCCACACAATCAAAAATTGAATAATTATTCAGTGTTTCATTTAAACAATTTCCATTCTAGAAGCGACTTGAGCGAGTCGCCCAAGCATCACATGATGTTGGACTCGCCGTCGCCCACTCGCGAACAAAAAGCCCGCCAGGCTGTCGCCGAGGCCACAGCTTCGGCGGGAGGCGGCAAGTGGAAGATGCACGCGGGCGGCAGCCAACAGCCGCCGCCGCGTCCCAAAAAGAAGCTGATGGATCGACCGCCGTCGCCCGAATGGCCGCCCGAGTTGCCGCCAGAGAAAATCAGAGCCAGAAATAGGTACAGGTAACTGTTATGAATTTTGTTTCAACTGAATTGAGATTCAGTGAACTTGTCAGTTAAATCTTTTAAGTAGAGACGATAATATCATACACACTTTCTATCACGAATGAAAAATGATAATAAAATCTACTAGACGTAGGCTAGAACTCAATAATTTGTATAGTATTTCCAAACTCAATTGGAACAAGGTACTAACTGGTAGCTGACTGGTCACTGAAAATTTCCATAGCCACTAGTCAGCCACCAATTATGATTTATGTTCACCTTGTTCCAATTGACTTTGGAAAAACTATACTGTACTTATATAAAATATGCTTTAAATTTTGATATAAATTTAACCTCTGTCTCTGAATCTATCTGGACTTCAACATTTATCTATTTTTGGTTGTCAGATTTTGATGGGAATTAAGTATATTGTATCTGTTCCAATGACCATGTAAAATAAATACATAAAATTTTATCTCCAACTATTATTGTTGCTCCCAATCTCAGTTAACTGCCTAATCTTTTGACAGTAATTGAACATCATTTACTACCTTTTTAGGTAACAACTATTGTTGCTCTACATTGAATTACAAGTTCCTATTCTGAAATACATGTTCCCTTTTCTGGAATTAAACTTTGCTTTTCTGCATCACAGTTGAAAAAGAGCCATTACCATCAAAATCGAATTGACCTGTCTTGTAATACTTGAATCAGCGCGCGCAGCCTGTGGCAAGCAGGGGAGAAAGTGAAGTTTGTTACGGGCTTGCTTCATATTTCTTTTAGGCTGTTCATTTGTAATTGCTTTACCTGCTCGAAAAATCAGATCATTGTGCGATGTTGCCGGATGAAACATTACAAGATAAAAGTGCAAACGATTTTAACGTACACTTTATGGCTCTTCTTTTGTCTGCTTTAAGGCGATGTAGAACACTTGACACTTCTTTACAATAATACAATCTGGCTACACTGCAGCTACAAGTTGCAGGCGCGAGGCGCATGCCTTCTTCTATTACTTTTTAACTTGTATTTATTACAATTAGGCTCCCTTTTTCTATTTATGCGAGACAGGTCAATTGTGACTTTCACAATCTGACGTTTTAATAACTGTCATGAAGCTGAAAACATATAAACAAGATTACAAGTTTAGGCTTTACTAAAAAATGGTGTCCTTCTATCTAGAGGTTGCACCAACATTTAATTTAAACTGCAAGACCAAAAAGTACTGTCATCCTTGTAATCAAAAATCCTTTTTTCAGCTTCGAAGAAACCCTATCCATGAAGAAATCCTCTATGCCACCATTACCGCCGCCCGAAAAAGGCTTAAGCATCCGCAAACAAATGGCAATCAAAGAATCGTCATCATCTAAACCAAGATCTGACTCACCCAAGAAACCGTCAAAACTTTTCGCACCTCCCATGCCCCCGCCCGGCCCGAAAATCCCTCAGGGACAAGTCGTCTTGGACAAATTCGGCAATTTCCGTCTGATGACGCCGCCAGAAATCAAAAAAAGCAAAGAAATGCTAGGAGCCATGGGCAACAATCGCCCTCCAGAACCGCCGGGCAGGCCGCGTTCGGACAGCCGATCGCCGAAACGTCGCAGCAGGTCCAGATCCAGAGGGTCCAGGTCGCGCAGCAGCAGCAATTCGCGTAGCCGCTCGCGCAGCTACAACCGGTCGAGATCGCGCAGTTACGCTTCGCGCAGCCGCTCCCGTTCAGGATCCTTCTACTCGCGGAGCAGATCCAGATCCAGGAGTTATTCTGGAGATAGGAGATTCAGGAGGCGCGGCGGTGGTAATTTCAGAGGCAACAACAGGAATGATAGAGGCACTTATTATAAGCCGCGTTATCAGAATCCTAGATATGATAATCGTGGCGGTAATAGAGGAGGAAGAGGCGGTTGGAACAGGTAAGAATTTTATTATTATTATAGGTTTGATCAGCAGTAAGCGGCAACGCCGATGAGACTACTGGTGTATTGTTATGTCCTTGTTTTCACTGTTATGAGTCACATGTAATGCACAACCAGGTCCCGGTCAAGTCTGTTTTTGAATGCTTTCTTTGAAGGAACACTGGCTGTGCTTTCCTCAAGGGTGTTCCACTGATAGACAACCCTATTCGTCAGAAAATTCTTTCTGATCAGCTTCGAGCATCTCTCCTTATCCAGCTTCTTGGTGTGGCCTCGGAGTTGCTGGTTAGTATTTAGACTGAAAATGTCCAGTTGCAAATCTGGAGAATAATGGTTATTTAAGATTTTGTACATCTCAATGAAGTCCCCAAGTTGTTATGTTGTATCTCAGTAGTCTTTCTCTGTACGAAAGATCATGGGGATGGATCTGTGACTAAAAGCTTTCTGTATGAGGTATACAAAAGAGTTTGTCCTCTTGACAACTGAAGAAATATGGGCTTCCCATTTTACGTGATTTGAGATAATGACACCCAGATCTTTCTGCTGACAGCCTTCACGGAAGTGCCGTTTGAGCTGTAAGGTATGTTTGGATTGTTAGGTCCAATGTACAGTACAGTGCACTTGTCGGGGTTAAGTGTTAGCTGCCATTCGCTGATCCATTTCTCGAGTGTTTTCAGGTCGTCTAAAAGGTTGTGATGCTGATGCTCCAAGCACGGATTGCAGTATATTTTTGTGTCATCAGCATAAAAACTTATCTTTGTCTTCATAAGAGAATGAAAATCGCTAATGTATACGGTAAACAGCAGTGGCCCCAACACCGATCCCTGTGGCACCCTACTAAGGACCTTGTTTTCCTTAGAGTAATGCCCATTTGCTCTCACTTGAAAGGTTCGGTTTTGAAGAAAACTGCCTATCCATCCGAGCAGCTCATCCCTGCTTTCAAAGTGTTTGAATAATAACCTCTTGAATGCCACTTTTTCTAATGCCTCCTCATAGTCTAGGTACATTACATCCATTGGATGGCCACTGTACACTTCTTTCGTCCATGAGTTTATGCAAGTGAGTAAGTTGGTTGTGGTAGATCCAGGCCCGTAGATAGGAGGGGGTCAGAGTGGGCAATGCCCGCTCTGAAAGAAAAAGTTGCCCACTCTAGACTAGAAAAACAATTTAATGACATTTGAAATTTGTCAGTCTTGTGCTTTGATTGGTTGATTTTTTAAAATTCGTCTGCAAAGCAAAAATAACTCACATCAGAGTAAATTCACTCCACACTTTTCAAATAATTCTCGAGCAGCAAAACGAGAACACCTCAACTTAACAGCTAGTAGGCTATTTGCAGCGCTTTCTTTGAATTATCTGTGACAAGAGACAGCTTATGAATTTTTGAATTTTTCAGCTTAAGAGCCTGAAATAGACAAAAGTCGAGGCAAAATTAATAGTTTTCTTATTCCCGGTTCCTGAATTGAAAAACTAAAGAAAACAGGGAGAAGATCAAAAGCCCGGAATAGACAAATAATTGAGAAAAAAATGACTGTGTTCCACATCGAAATGAAAACACCTTAACTTTGACATTTTAAGTAGTCAGTCAATTATAGCGGTTTCGTTAGGGTGCACCCTCTCATATGTGGTGGTGGTGATGTCCAAGTGCAACAAAAATAAAGTCATTTAGAGTAAATTTACTCCACACTTTTCAAATAAGTCTTGGGCAGCAACATGAAAGCACCTCAACTTTGACAGTTCAAACAATTCTAGTAGGCCATTTTTAACGCTTTCTTTTAACCATCAGGAACAGAGACAGCTTATGAATTCTTGAATTTTTCAGCTTGAGAGCCTGGGATAGACAAGAGTCGAGACAAAATTAATAGTTTTCTTATTCCCGGCTCTTGAATTGAAAAACTAAAGAAAACAGGAAGGAAATCAAAAGCCTGGAATAGACAAATAATTGAGACAAAAATTATTGAGCTCCACATCGAAAAGAAAACACCTTAACTTTGACATTTAAAGTAGTCAGTCAATTATAGCGGTTTCGTTAGGTTGCACCCTCTCTTATGTGGTGATGTCCAAGTGCAACAAAAATAGAGTCATTTAGAGTAAATTCACTCCACACTTTTCAAATAAGTCTGGGGCAGCAACATGAAAGCACCTCAACTTTGACAGTTCAAACAATTCTAGTAGGCCATTTTTAACGCTTTCTTCGAACCATCAGAGACAGGGACAGCCTATGAATTCTTGAATTTTTCAGCTTGAGAGCCTGGAATAGACAAAAGTCGAGACATAATTAATAGTTTTCTTATTCGCGGCTCTTGAATTGAAAAACTAAAGATAACAGGGAGGAACTCAAGGGCCTCTGGAATAGACAAATAATTGAGACAAAAATGATTGAGCTCCACATCGAAAAGAAAACACATTGACTTTGACATTTTAAGTAGTCAGTCAATTATAGCGGTTTCGTTAGCTTACACCCTCTCTTATGTGGTGATGTCCAAGTGCAACAAAAATAGAGTCATTTAGAGTAAATGCACTCCACACTTTTCAAATAAGTCTTGGGCAGCAACATGAAAGCACCTCAACTTTGACAGTTCAAACAATTCTAGTAGGCCATTTTTAACGCTTTCTTTTAACCATCAGGAACAGAGACAGCTTATGAATTCTTGAATTTTTCAGCTTGAGAGCCTGGGATAGACAAGAGTCGAGACAAAATTAATAGTTTTCTTATTCCCGGCTCTTGAATTGAAAAACTAAAGAAAACAGGAAGGAAATCAAAAGCCTGGAATAGACAAATAATTGAGACAAAAATTATTGAGCTCCACATCGAAAAGAAAACACCTTAACTTTGACATTTAAAGTAGTCAGTCAATTATAGCGGTTTCGTTAGGTTGCACCCTCTCTTATGTGGTGATGTCCAAGTGCAACAAAAATAGAGTCATTTAGAGTAAATTCACTCCACACTTTTCAAATAAGTCTGGGGCAGCAACATGAAAGCACCTCAACTTTGACAGTTCAAACAATTCTAGTAGGCCATTTTTAACGCTTTCTTCGAACCATCAGAGACAGGGACAGCCTATGAATTCTTGAATTTTTCAGCTTGAGAGCCTGGGATAGACAAGAGTCGAGAGAAAATTAATAGTTTTCTTATTCCCGGCTCTTGAATTGAAAAACTAAAGAAAACAGGGAGGAAATCAAAAGCCTGGAATAGACAAATAATTGAGACAAAAATGATTGAGCTGCACATCGAAAAGAAAACACATTAACTTTGACATTTTAAGTAGTCAGTCAATTATAGCGGTTTCGTTAGGTTACACCCCCTCTTATGTGGTGATTTCTAAGTGCAACAAAATAAGATCACCTCAACTTTGACAGTTTAAAAAAATCTAGTAGGCCATGGCCATTTGTAGCGCTTTCTTTGAACCATCAGGGTTAGAGTACAGTTTATGAATTCTTGAACTTTTCAGCTTGAGAGCCTGGAATAGACAAAAAAGTCGCGACAAATTCAATAATTTTCTTATTCCCGGTTCTTGAATTGAAAAACTAAAGAAAACGGGCAGGGGGCTCAAGAGCCTGGAATAGACAAATATTTGAGACAAAAATGATTAAAGTTCTTTACAGACGAATTCGAGATAATCCAATACAGAACTAAACTGATTTCTATCATTACGCCCCTTATAAGTTCGATTTTATGTATTTTTATTATTTCTTTGCGTTGTTAGGGTTTTATATTTTGTAATCAGTTATTATTAACTTCTGAAAATGAAGTTTTTTTACCTTGTGATTTTTAATAATTCTGAAAATGAAAATAAGTCTGCCCCTCCTGAATGTTAAGTTGCCCCCTCTGTTATCAAAACCTGGCCACAGGCCTGGGAAGATCGTTGGTGAGAAATCCGTGTTAGGTGGGTGGGATAGTCTTGTTTTTAACAAGTAAAGATATCATTTCCTGAACTATTATTTTCTCCATGATCTTGCATAGATCACAGGTGAGGCTAATTTATTTATTTATTTATCAACGGGTGATTTCCCAATCAAAAAACAGTAAAATTTAGTAATATAAAATACCTCTGTAATTTCCAGGGTTGAGCTTGTCTCCTTTTTTTTGGATTGGCACTATGTATGCTTGAGACCATCCTTGTGGCACAGTTTGCGGAGTGATTAGTGACTGCACCAGGCCGGTTATCACTGGAACCAACATCCTTTGGCAATTTATTGAAAATATTGTCGGTATTTCATCCAGGCCTGGACTAGATTCTCTTCCCAGAGTAGAGATTGCTTGAATAACCTTTTCCTCAGCAATATCTATGGTTGTTAATGATTCAATAGATCTAGTATTCTGCAATAGTGATGAAAAATTTACTAGGTTTTCTCTGGTGTGTACCTTCACAAAGTGATCCGCGAATGTGTTAGCTATCTTCTGAGGATCAGAGATAATCAATCCTGCGATTGGTTCTCTGAGCACAAGCTCAAATGCGTTGCTGTTTAATGTTCGCTTAACAAATGTTTCTCGTCTTTGTTGTCCAAGATGTCATTTCCTTATTCTACTGGCTGCCCTAATTGTGACTAATAATAATTTAAAAACTAAACTAAATTTATTTTACAGAGACAGATACGATAACAGAAACTACAGAGGTAGAGGCAGGCCATATGATTACAATAGAGGTAATCGTAGACACCCAAGAGGAAGGTACGGAGGTAACCGTGGTGGTGGATACAGAGATAGAAGATATGACAGGAGCAGGTCTAGAGATAGAAGCAGGTCGTACAGTAGATCGGGTTCTGACGATTCTCCAATCAGGAGAACTCGCGATAGAGAAGACAGCGTCAACAAAGAAAAGATTAACAAGTACTCAGAGGGGGCGCCACCCGCTCCTGGCCAAGATGACGGTCCTCCTGGGGTGGATCAAGAAAAGCCAGCTAGACAGGAAGGTCCTTTGTCTGATGGCGAAGACAGGGACGATTATACTAATAATGAGCCTGCTACAGCTCAAGCTGGAGGCAGTGATGGTGAAAAGTAGTTTTAGTAGGTAGGATTTTAGTGGTGAAATGTATTCATATACATACATATTGATTTAAATAAATATTTTGTTTTGTGTATTTGATTGAAAAATATAATTCAATGTATCTTGAGGTTTTTTGTTTAATTTACCCAAAATAAAAAACAATAAATACTGGTCATCTAATTTATTTATTCAAAAACTTGCTGCACGTTCAACTGTAGTGTCTTCATAAGCCTGTATGGCCAATTCCAAGGCAGCTTTTTTATTGGCGGATTTCTTGATGAAATCTTTGATTTGGTCCAATGGTTGCTCTCCTTCAAATGAAATTTTGTGAACCAGAGAATAGACTGCAATTAAATCCTGGGCTTCGTGTATGTGTAAAGTTTCTATAAGGTCTAGGAGTAAGTTGTCGATGATTTTGTTCCAGACCAAGAAGAAAGTTAAGGAACCAAAATGTCTTGTGGATCTAGAAAATAATTTTTATGAATAATCAATGTTTCCAAATACTTTAAAAACAAGAAAACCAAATGAAAAGTTTTCACTTCTAGCTCAGGAACTTTTGAAGAAGGAAGGTATTGTAGAAATCTAGGGAATGAAAAGGAAGCTCAATTTATGCATGTCTGAGGAAATCCAAGGTAGTTTGGATGAATTTTTGAGGAAGTACAGGAAATATTTATTGAATAATGGAGGAAGTTTTCAGTCAAAATTTTGTATTTGAGAGGGAATTTCCTTCTTACTTTGAACCTCAATTCAAGAAATTGAGTTATTAGGCAATCCAAACCATGTGACATTCAAGGTGGCGATAATTAGGACACAAAATCTCAACAAAAAAAAAATTGAAATTTCATCGTTTTAGTAAGAAGGTTAGATGATTTAGATTTTGGAAAACTTTGAAAGGTCATAACTTTTTTTCTATTATAGCTCGAGAGCTGAAATTTTCAGCGATTCTTATTACAGCAGAGGACCACAATCCCTGAAAACTTCAACTCATTTGGACTTATAGTTCCTGAGATAAAATCGTGTTAAGCAATTTGGAGTGAATTGTCAATTTTTCTGAGTGCCTTTTTTCATAGATTTCGGCTTCAAATCTGCGAATAACTTGGTGTATGGAGTTTGGGGGATATCAAATGACCATTAGGACACTAAATCTCAACAACAAAAATTTTGAAATTTCATGGTTTTAGTAAGAATGTAGGTAGCTACCTTATGATTTAGATTTAAAACTTTGGAAAGTTATAGTCATAACTTCATAACTTTTTTTCTATTATAGATAGAAAGCTAAAATTTTCAGCGATTCTTATTCCAGTAGAGGACTACAATCCCTGAAAATTTCAAATAATTTAGACTTTTAGTTCGTGAGATAAATTTGTGTTAAGCAATTTGGGGTGATTTATCAATTTTTCAATTTTTCTGAGTGCCTTTTTTCATAGATTTCGGCTTCAAATCTGGAAATAACTTGGTGTATGGAGTTCGAGGGATATCAAATCACCATTAGAACACAAAATCTCAACAAAAAAAAAAAATCGAAATTTCATCGTTTTAGTAAGAAGGTTATGATTTAGATTTTGGAAAACTTTGGAAGGTCATAACTTTTTTTCTATTATAGATAGAAAGCTAAAATTTTCAGCGATTCTTATTCCAGTAGAGGACTACAATCCCTGAAAATTTCAGCTCATTTGGACTTATAGTTCCTGAGATAAAATTGTGTTAACGTTTTTACGAGTTTTAACGAGTTTACGTACCTAGACAACAAATATTTTATTAAACAATCAAAATCAAAATTGCAAGCAAAACTCGAAGCAAAATAATTAAAATACACATAAAAACACATATTCGAAAAAACTTGCTTGGCTGCCACGCCATATTGAATTTTTATACTGAAACTTTTTCAACAAATTTTCAGTTATACAATATTTTTGTATCCATTTACTCAAAATAAACCCTTTAACATGACTCCAAAGTTACTTACCTAAGAAGTTCAAATTTATTATTATCATTTACATGCTGATAGGTAACAGTAACAGCCTTCTGATACTCGACATCATCAGGTTCAAATTGAATACAAGCCCTATCCAAAATGTACTCGTATTGATGCCTATCCAATAAACTTTCGAAATACTCTCCCTCAAACATTTTTGGAGTTTCCAAGTATTTTTTATCTTGTGGAAAGTAGGTTTGGTTCATTCGTTGTCTCAACTGCCACTCTGCTTCTTGTAAAGTACCATCAGGTTCTCTTACAACAATAAGCCTGTCTGAATCTTTAGTACCATAAGTGATGTCTATGAAAACTAATCTAGATGTTTCTAAACCTGAAAATAACTATTATGATTATAAACAGATTTTAAAAGTCTAGTGTTTACCTTGTAGGGCAGGATCTCTAGAAAGCACTTTAACATTTTGGTCTCTCACTCGCACTACAGGAGGAATTTGTAAGAGCTCTTCGGCCGTCTCTTTTGCTACCTCCAAAGCTTCTTTAAGCTCTTCTTCCGTCATGAATTTGTACACTGGATCGCTCAGGTGTTTTTCGCCCAGTTTTCTTCGTTTGAAAACTTTATTGTAGTCAACCCTGGTTAAGGATTTTAAAAGGGATTGAACCTTGTCATTGAAAAATGTTTCAGCTGGGTCAGCTTTACCATCTACAATAAATTTATTATTAGGATATTGTGTAGAAGGAGGGGTTTTTCTTTGAACTCTTACCATAAGCCATAGCAGAATAGTTCAACAAGCGACGAGTACAGTGATATGAGACATTAGAGCTATTTGAAAATAACTTGAGAGCGTGACGAAGTCCAGCCATTATTAGGATATTTTATTAATATTTATTTAGCATTAAAATTTTAAAAATTACAACAAAACTCAACCCAAAAAAAGTGAGGTTAGAAATACTGCTGTTTAAAATAAAAGTCAATAGGTGGCGCTAGTCAAAAAATAGATTACTATAAATTGATTACTATTGTGAACTGAGAGAGATAGTTATAGTGTAGTATTAATTTAGCGGTATTAATAATAATTGTTAGTTATCTAAAATAAATGTTAATAATAATTATTTAATAATAAACTTCAATAAAAGATTCTTCTGGATATTAACCCATTTATTTAAGAAATTTTTATTGTATTCCCTCATAATTCTTTCCTGAAAGGTTGTTGATAATTCGAATTTATTTGAAACAGAATCGTTTTGTTAATAATAATCAAAAAGCAATGAATAAATAAATGATTAATCGACACTTTACAATGGCAAATAAAAGCACAAACCAGCGGCGTTGATAGATTCTAATATATATTAATTACCGAAGCCCACTTAAGAAATTGGATTAAGAGATTGTTTTAGTTGGATATTCGAGACGCACGACCCATATAACACAATTAAATCCATATAGTGATGATTTTCTTTGTTTGAAACACCTTTTTCTGTATCGTAATTATGCGCAAATTTTTTCGGGTTTATCATTTGTGTCGTGGGATATAGTGGGTTCCTAAATGACGGCCGTAAGTGATAGATTGATTTTGTATTTTCGTGATTATGCAATTGAGCCAATTGGCAATTGTTGCTTATCAATTACGATAGTTTATTATTCTATTTGCAGACTCGAATTAGTTTCTTTCGCAGCTCATCCATATTATTGACTTAAAAGTTTAAATCATTTACATAATGAGATTATTTTTCTTAATATTACACAATCATGGATCACTGTAGTTGTATTCCTTTCAAGAGTTTGGAACACTCGAACTACTCGCTCCGGTGTTAGTCGACCCCGATTTTGAAGGGAGAGATACGGGGTGCAACTTATTAGGTGCAACAAACCCTTTTCGAAAAGAATAAGCGCGTAACGTTCCGGAGCTGTTCCGGAGCTCCTCCTAGGTGTGAAAGGAATACAATTATTCAGAGAAAACATTTAGATTAAGATGTTTCTTTTTATTATAATAATTACCTACTTATTATATCGTCCTTAAACATTCTACGGCGTCTTCCGTCTTCTAATTACCGATCTCCAATCACCTCATCTATTCCGGCATCCTCCTCCAAGCCTCCAGTCTCTCATTTCAGTCATTTCTTCATCTATTCCAGCTTTTCCTTGGATTTCCACGCCCTCTCTTTCTCCTCTGGATCCCACCCTTCCCATATTGATTTGCGTATGGGTATTCTTGAGTAGGTATATCTGACATCATCGATCGTTCACTCCATATATTTCAAAAATTATGAGTCACCCAGTAATTTTTCTAGAAAATGAAGAGCTTGTAACAGTTCAAGTTTTGAGCATTACCTGCTCTCAAGTCGTTCGATAATTTTTCCAGACAATCAAGAGCAGGTAGAGGCTGTGGCAGGTAATAATTCAAATTTTGATTATTATCGGCTCTTGACTCTTGACTTGCTGAGGAATTTCTCTAGACAATCAAGAGGCGGTTAATAGTTTAAATTTTGATTATTACCGGCTGTTGCGAGTCGCTCAGTAATTTTTCTAGACAATGAAGAGCTTATAATAGTTCAAATTTTGATTATTACCGACTCATGAGTTGCTGAGTAATTTTTCTAAACAATGAAGAGCTTTAACTGGAGTGTTTTGATGAGGAGTGTACTAGGAAAAAATGTAATACGGTGCCTACACGTTGATTAACTAAATTCCCGAATATTTATTTCAAATACTGTACTAATTGCGAACAAAAAGCAAAAACATAGCAATTTTCTCGATTGGTCATGGACCGGTGTCACAGGTGTCATTGGGTGTTTTCTACCGAGGTAGAGGGTGCTTTGGTGTCTTAATGGTTACAATCTCCCCTTTTGGAGTTTCCCTACGTCCTCGGGGATACTCCAAGTTAATTTTTGATGTATGATCGCCACATAAACAAGTTAGAGCTTTAATGCGGCGTCTGGGTCGTCCATCTAATCTGGACTCATCGTCATTTTCATTTTTTTTCCGTTAGAACTCTCATTGTCATCAGCATGCAGTATATCTGTGTTTTTCTGAGGAATGGCCTCGTCACCTTCGGGTATATTATCATTATCAGTTTCAATAAGGCGGCTTCTCATGGGTTTTCCACGTAGGCGTATAGGTCGTACTGGTGTTGGAATTTCTCCTTTTCCCACATAAGGTGCCATAGCTGACGTATGCAATTTGATGGTGGGACCTTCAGTTGGCTTTATAGGTTTAACTTCAATTGTTGTTCTGTTGGAGTGACAACCTTAGTAACCATATGGACCATCACGTCGTGGAGCAAATTTTGAAGTATAGGCATATTTGGCTTTGCTAATTGGGTGTGTATCCACCATCATCACTCGATCTCCCTATTTGTAATAGGGAATAGTTCTTCTCCTTTGGTCAGCCTAATGTTTTCATTTATCTTGGGACTTTTCATGGAACTCTCTTGCTTCTCTCAAGGTTTTAGCAATATTTATCGAATAAGGGGTAACTTGAGGAATGAAATTTTCACTTTCAGTGATAGCTCTCATGTCCCTTTGTACATCATCGGGTGTGCGGAGCTCTCGTCCAAATGTTAAATAGGCTGGGGTATATCCAGTACTGTCACATCTTGCGGAGTTCATAACAAAACGCACGGAGGGTAGTTTATTCTTCCATTGAGTGTGACAACCTCCTACTAGAAGTGATAGTTGGATTTTCAAGTCGCGGTTTTTCCGTTCCACAGGATTAGACTCGGTATGATACACAGGTATTAAGTGCTGTTGAAAACCAAGATAATGTATTACATACTGCATAGTTTCACTAACAAATTGCACTCCATTGTCGCTGGTAACCCTTCGGGGAACTCCATATCTGAGTATCACCTTATCAACAAGAGTTTGCGCACAAGCTTTGGCAGTAGCCATGTGCGTGCGGAAATATTTCTATCCATCTGCTGGCAGTGTCTTCGATTATAAAGATCCATTTTTCACCAGTATCGGTTTCAGGAAGAGATCCAAAGAGATCTATAGATATTACTTCAAATCGCTTGGTCATTGCAGGTGTTTGTATTAAACCAGCAGGTTTAAGATTTCTCACTTTATATCTCTGACATTCAATACAGCTGAACACATGTTCGGCAACACTTTTTCTCATTCCTGAAACGTATTCGTTATGTGATTTTATAAATGCCATAATGAGCAGCTAAGGGGGAATCGTGATATTCTTCTAGAATTTCAGAAATTATGCTTTTTGGTACCAATAATTGTATTTCTTCTTGGGTCTCACTCTCAGGATCATAGCGATACAAGATTCCTTCGGTCATAATGTAACCGCGGTCAGTCCACGTCTTAAATTCCACTGATTCAGGATCCGGTGATTCGAAACAAAAAATTATTTTTAATACATCCGGATCTTCTAACTGTTTACTTCTAATGTCTTCTTTTTTTTTCTGGGCAAATCAACAATAACTTCATTAACCTCTGTCTGTGACGTTTCTAGTTGTGGCCGGGATAAAGTATCAGCCACTACATTTACCTTTCCAGGTGTATATTCAATTCTCATGTTACCAGCCTGTAAAGACAAAGCCCATCGAGCTAATCGGCTACCAGGTGATTTTAAATACATTAACCACTTCAATGGCTGGTGGTCAGTCTGGGTAATGAATTTAGCTCCATCCAGGTAGCCTCTAAATTTCTCCACAGCCCACACAACTGTTAGAGCTTCTCTTTCTGTAGTGTGATAGTTCATCTCAGCAAGTGTGAGTAATCGGCTTGCATATTCAACAGGTCTTTCATCGGCCTTCTCCCCTTGGAGTAAAACTGCCCCTAAAGCGTATGAACTAGCATCATTTTCGAGTATATAAGGCGGCAATGTACTATCAGCCTGTCGGAGTATGGGATTAGTAGTCAAAAGTTGTTTTACAAGGTCGAAAGAATCTTGTTCTTCCTGTTTAAGGAGGTTAAGGGCTTTGAAACTTCTGCAAATGAAGAAATTAATCTCTGGAACCAAGAACATGTTTGGACAAAAGCTCTTTCACATTTTTGGGAGGTGGTCTCTCCATAATAGCGGTTATTTTAGAAGGATCTGGTTGGATTCCTTGTGGTGTAATTACGTGTCCCAAATACTTCACAGAGGAGCACATAAAATGGCATTTGGATCGATTGAGGTGAAGCTTGAAAGCTACAAGTTGGTCAAAAACGCGTTGTAAATCAGAAAGGTGTTCTTGGTAATTTCTGGATAACACAATCAAATCGTCTATATTAGCTAATATGGTCAAATCTTGGAGTCCGGATTTGAATCGATCAATGAGTCTTTGGAAAGATGGAGGGTGCATTTTTCATTCCAAATGGCATCCTCGTATAACGGAAAATTCCGAATGGGGAAATAAATGCTGTTTTATCTTGATCAGATTCGCGGACATAGACTTGATGGTTTCCCGTTTTTAAATCAAGAGTGGTCATATACTTTGTTTGTTTTGCAGTGTGTAATAGATCATCAATCCTAGGAAGTGGGTATTTATCGGAAACTGTTTTCTCATTTAGGCGTTGATAATTGACACAAAGGCGAATACTACTATCAGGTTTAGAACAACTGGTGCAGCATACGGGGATTCGCATTCTTCTATGATTCCATCTTTCAGAAGCGTATCAAGTTCTGCCCTCAATATGTTTTTGTTTTGTTCAGACATCCGATAAGGTGGTACAGAAATTGGAATATCATCAGTTAGTTTTACTGTATGTTCTGCATATGATGTTGGCTCAGTACCGGATGTGAATAATTCAGCATATTGGTGCAGTGAGAATTCAATCTGTTGCTTTTCTGGTTAGCTTAGTTGTACACCTTCATTTTCCCTCAATTGTGATGCATTCAGTTGTACAGAAAACATTGGAGTAGAAGTAGATTCCGCAGTAGTTATTACATAATTAGTCTCATCTTCAAATAAATACGAAAATTGTGGAGTTTCAGCATAATACCATTGTCCATGAGGAATGTCCATCACAATTCACAATATTGGCAAGTTCAATGAAGTCTAAACCAAGTAAAGTCCTACTATTGATATGTTCTGGAATGGCAACAAGTGATGTTGAAATAATTTTATCATTCAGAATGATTTCAACATTAAAAACTAGAGAAGTTACAGTCCTCTCTATGCCATCTGCAAGTTTAATCAACAATTGTTGTTGAATATAAGGAGCGTTTTCTTTCAAGAGAAGTTTCATAAGCGCAGCACCAGTTAGGCTACGCTTTGCTCCTGTATCCAAACAGGGAAGACCAGTATGACCAAGAATATTGACTGAAACCATAGGTTTAATTTGAGAATCAACATCTGAAGAATGATAGAAGAATTCAGCAGCTTTAGCACTTGTGGTGAACGTATGGCCTGATGAAGTATAACTAGAAGAACCTGATTTTCGACAATTTGGACAGTTGCTTTTGATGTAACCTTGTTTTCCACAATCGTAGCGAGAAATTGCCGAAGAAACATTTTTTTTTTCTTGCGGATCTTCTGACTTCCGACCTGTTTCTTCCAGTCTAGAGTTTTGTTTCAATTGTTTCAATTTTCTACAATCCTCTTTGATGTGACCATAATTTTTGCAATAAACACATTTCAATGAAGACTTCTTCCCTTCTGTTTTAGCTTCTTTGTGGGGGCTCGATTTAACAGAATCGTGAGTTTTCCAGTAGAGTGATTTCTGTAGTTCGACAGTTCGACCTTTTTGAATAAGCTCATTGAAATGATCAACATTCTCTCGAGGAACTCCCTTTCTAATATTGTAGTTCAATAGACCATAAACCATATCTAACTGACCAATTGCAGAAACCTGGTAATTAATTGGAAATTTGGAGAAAATGGCTCGACATCGGCTTACAAAAATTTCAATTTTCTCTTCATTACCTTGTTCTTTAGAAAACAACTCACGATATAGTTGATGTGGAAGTTTTTTTTTTTCCAAAAGCATTTCGTAATGCACATATACGATCATCAAATGTAACAACACTGGATTTCACTCCTTGCCACCATATTGCAGCTTGACCTTTTAGAAGCATAGGAAAACCCTTGAGAGCATTATTTTCAGAAACATTCACGCAGTCTTTATAAATAAGGATGGTATCAATAAACGTATTCACATCACTGCTACATGAACCATCAAAACGAACTGTGCATTTGGCAAAATTACCTCGCTCTGAATTATTTAAATTGGCATTTTGATTTATAGTAAGGCTCTGTATAAGAGTTTGTAACATTTCTGTCGACATTACTACTTGTTGAATAATATCATTATCATGATTGTCTTCGTTATTCTCCATTTTATTAGATTCAGTGCTTTTCGACATCCGACAACGTAAGTGCATGAAATTGGTGTCCTTGGTGAAGCTGGTGAGATGGTTTATGACCACAATCGAAAAATTCACAGGAAAAATTCATAAATCTATCTAGTCAACAAGAGTACAGTCAAAATAAACTTGATTTTTAACTTGCCCCACGTTAGGCGCCACTTTAACTGGTGTGTTTTGATCAGGAGTGCACTGGGATAAAATGTAATACGGTACCTGTTAATTAATTAAATTCCCGAATATCTATTCCAAATACTGTACTAATTGAACAAAAGGCAAAAATATAGCAATAAAGATTTCTGAAGTAGAAAATACGTGTTGAGAACGCTAACGGTTTCGATGACAATGACTTTTACACCTTTTTTTTCTCGACTGGTCATGGACCGGTGTCATTGGGTGTTTTCTACCGATGTAGAGGGTGCTCTGGTGTCTTAATGGTTACAGAGCTTGTAATAGTTCAAATATTGTGTATAACCGGCTCTTGAGTCACTCGATATTTCTTTTAAACAATCAAGAGCCGGTAATAGTTCAAATTTTGATTATTACCGGCTCTTGTGTTGCTGGTTGCTGGGTAATTTTTCTAAACAATTATGAACCGGTAATAATTCAAATTTTGATTAATACCGCCACTTTATTAGCTGGAAATTTTCTAGAGCTCCCAATTTTACTTTGAAAGGCAAATTTTGATTATTACCGGCTCTCGAGTACTCGAGAGCCGGGCTTAGCTCAATAACTTTTCTAGACAATCAAGTGCCGGTCATAGTTCAATTTTTGATTATTACATTATACCCGACTCTCGAGTTGCTATGGGTGATTTTTCCATATAATCAAGAGCCGGTAATAGTTAAAATTTTCAGGTCGTCCCCAGGACATCCCAGACTAGAAATCCTGAGAACGTCCGCTAAAGGCTAATCTGGAAATGTTTCAAAGCCCATCTAGGTCTGAGCGTTTCGGAATTTTCGCAGGCCGTCCACGAACGACTTGTCTAGGATACCTTTGTTACATCCTGAGGACTCTCGTTTCAAATCCCATGTCCATCCAAACGTTCCAGGGAATTCTTATCTGATTATCCCTAGGAGTTCTCTTTGAACATTCGTAGGAGTTTTGTTCACACAACTTTAGGATAATTTCCTCCTGTAACCTCCATGGGACTTCTTTTCATCAGATACCTACTCAGTATGAGAGGTTTTATAACAAAATTATTCTAGGTGTGCGAAATTAAAACTGGAAAATCCACAGGTTGCTGATAAAATCGTGATCGATGAAAGATTTCAAAATGAAATTGAAAGATATCGAAACTGAAAAGGATATTTTTTCTCCTTACCTTGCTCTACTTCCAAACTCGACTCAGCTGGCCAGCTCATTCAGGAAGTTCAGGTTCAATGCGTAGGAGTGCAACGAAACCGTCTTGATTCAACCGGCCGCGGCAAACGAAAAACCGCGGGTCTATTTTCTCGAACCACACGAAGCGGGCGAAGTGTTTTTGGCAACTAGTTTACACTTGTCGGCAGGAACTGTGAGGACATTTCCGGTACCCGTTTCAGTGTTTTAACGCGCGCATTTTTAGAAGTCAAATTTAGCAAAGCCGTATCATTCTTAGACATAGAGCACGCGCAATTCAATTAGAATAAGAGAAAACAAAAATAAAGAAAAACTAATCAATTTCCATTCCCAAATATAATTTAAAATCCTAAATACCCAATTTAACCTACAACTATATACAGGGCGCGTAGACAAAATTGAACACTAGGTATAATGTATACAAGCTACCTTAGGAAGCATTTCCGGACCCATGTTAATAGGAACTTTTTGTCTTATTTTTATGCAAGGAATACGCCCCCGAAAGGATGCCGTTTACTTTTGAATCACTCTGTATATATATCCCCGGGAATATCAAGGACTTTTAAATGGCATACTTTGGAAGTTACTGACACTTTTGCTATCTGGGAAACTGCCTCCCATGAAGATATATTATGCTTTTATCATTTTTTATATATTATGATAATCGAAATTCCTTTACTCTTTCAGGAGTATTTGTTTTAAATATTTTTTTGAATCCTGCTGAAGAAATGATCATACCTACCTTCTGAGCTTTGTCTTCTCTTTCTGGGCTGGAATCACAACAAGTAGAATTCTACTAGAATTCTACTTTCATGACGTCAGGTTGCCTAGCATCCGTCATCATCGCCTGTACTGTACGCGATAAATAGGTCGTTATTGACGTCATGAAAGTGGAATTCTACTTGTCGTAATCTCAGCCCTGGTCTCTGTAGTCTGCTTATGTGACAATAATCAGGTCCATTTTTCCTTCGATTTCCGATGTTCTGAATCTATTGATTGGGTCTTCCCAATAGCACCACAGACGAAAAAAGTCTTAAAAACGTCTTTTTTAGGTTTGCATTACGTCTGAAGACCAAAAAAGTCGTTGTTTTGAAGATGTCCATGAGATGTCGTACTTGCATTTGTAATCTTGTGAATTTTATGATTGTAATCTGTAAATTCAAGAAAATCATAAAAATTTAAGTACAAAAATTTGTAAAATCACTAAAAATGACGAAAACCATGAAAAATTTACGATAATCACAAAAGTTAGTTATCAAAATCTTGAATTATAGAGATCGAGCATCAGGCTCTGAGTCTAAAGCCAAGAATAATTTCAAATTTTACTAGATTTTAGAATTTAACTAGATCTTTACAGTAATCAGTTATCAAAATAATTAATCTTGAATCTTGAATTTTCAAAGTAGGTATCATAATTTTGTAAGTCTTTAGAATCTTGAACCCTGCAAATCTTCAGAATATTGGGTACCTATTGACTCGCTACAACGAGAGCAATACCATTGAGTTTAAGCCACAAAAAATTCAAGTCTCAAATATGGGTACTTACCTATGAAAATCATAAAAATTTAGGAAAACCACAAAAATTTAGAACATCACAGAAACTTACAAAAGTAAATGCCGTCTTCTTCTGATATAGCATCAACAGCATGAGTACCTACCTGGTCAAAGAACGATTCACTAGGTTTTTTTTTATATTTTGCTGATATTTTTATGTTGTAATACATTACTAGACAATGAAGATAAAAGTTATTTTCAAGGAGTTAATGGACTTGGATGACATCCTACCGCAAATTGGCGAGTTCGGCAAATACCAAAAACTGATGCTGTGGCTGATCTGCCTACCGGCCTGCTTTCCTTGCGGTTTCGGCGCTTTCAACCAGCTCTTCATGACCGACGTACCGGATTATTGGTGCCGAGTACCAGAACTAAACAATTTAACAGTCAGTACCTAACTTACCTTTTTTTACACAAATATATATATTTTTTTTTGTATCAATATGCAGGTAGAAGAACGAAAAAACTGGTCGATACCGAAAATAAACAACACATTTGTTCAATGTCAACGGTACGCGATTAATTATACGGAATTGTTGAGGGAAATTGATAATGGGTATCAGAGAGATTCGAATAAAACTGTGTGGCCCATTGAGAGTTGCAAAGATGGTTATGAATATGATACCAGCGTGATTTATTCTAGTATAGTCATCGATGTAAGTACCTATTTAGACTCAGAAATCCTGGATTTAACTATGGGGCCTTACGAAACAGTTATTGGAAAGGTTGACATATAAGATCCTACTGACTGCGCCATGTTGTTTGTTAACACTATTTGTTGAGCCAATTATTATTTTAGTACGATCTTGTATGCGAAAAAGACATTTACCCAACATACGGCCTGGTAGCGCTCAACATCGGAGGCCCATTCGGAGTCTATTTTTTCGGATATCTAAACGACAGGATCGGCAGGAAAAAGACCTTCTTTATTTGCCTCACTACACTGATCGTTGGTGGCATAATGACGGCCTTGTCCCCGGATTTTTGGTGGTGGGCCGGTAGCAGACTCATTGTAGGCCTCACTATACCTGCCATTTACCAAATCCCTTTCATAATATGTAAGAATTTCTTAATTTATTAGACTAATGATAATGATTGAATATTTTTTAGCTCTAGAATTGGTTGGTCCAAATTATAGATCATTTATTACAGTATTAACGTGCCTGTTCTACACTGTAGGCCTCATAATGCTGGCAGGCATTACTTACATGGTACGCAACTGGGTGTACTTGTCCTTGGTAACATCAGTACCGTTTATACTGTACTACTTTTATTGGTTCGTGTTGCCAGAAAGCCCCAGATGGCTTTTAGCGAAAGGCAAATTCGAGGAGGCCTCGACTATTCTAGAATCTTTGGCTAAAACCAACAACAAGGAAATTCCGGCCAGCTTTAAGCAGCAGCTGAAACAAAAAATGACTAATAAAAGGACCACGAGCGAGGAGGAGGCTCTGAATAAGAATTTGGGGTTGTTTGACTTGTGTGGGACGCCCAACATGAGGCTCAAGACTATTCTGATTACACTTAATTGGTTTGCTAATAATATGGTAAGAATTGACATCATCAACATTGAGTTTTAGAGCACTGAATCTGAAGCTGAGAATAATTTTGAGTTTTTAAGTAGTTGATCTTCCAAATCTCAAGTTGAAAAGCATTATTATCACTTAAGGTTATCAGAATTTTGAATTATAGAGCATCTGAGTCTAAGAGCCAAGAATAATTTTTGATCTTGAGTCGTAAGTCAACAGAATCATTACAGTAATTAGTATTATCAAAATCTTTTTTTTTTTGCATCTTGACTTTTCAGAGTATCAGAGTTTTTAATTTTGATCCAAGAATTTTGAGTCTTTGTGAGTCTTCAGAATTTTAAAACAAATTTTCAGAATCTTGGGTTACAATAAGAGCGAAAGTATTGAGTCATAAAAATTTCAAGTTTCTATTAGAGAGTGTGCCAAAAACAGTTGCTGAGTAATATCATAACTCATTTTCTCTTAGGTTTACGTTGGCCTAAGTTACTACGGTCCATCACTAGGCAGCAATCAGTACCTCAGCTTCTTGCTGTCGTCAGCAGTCGAAATACCCAGCTACGTAGCCTCCTGGCTGCTCATTGACAAATGGGGCAGACGTTGGCCCCTTTGCTTGTGCATGATGCTGAGCGGATGTTGCTGTATAACTACAGTATTAATTCCAAGCGGTAGTAATCTTGATTTATAATATGTATATTGATGCTGACTGATTTTTTTTATTTTAGAGAACGAAGTAGCAACTCTGGTGCTATTTTTATTGTCCAAATCCACAATTTCGGCCTCGTTTTTTATTATTTATCCGTTTGCTGGTGAACTATATCCTACAGCTATAAGAGGATTGGGGATTGGAGTATCAGCTTATATTGCTGGTGTTGGATTGATTATAATACCTTTTGTAACTTATTTGGTACGCTTTGGAAGCTGTAAAAATTGAATTTCATTTCGCTTCTTATTACAGGGTTCTGATGTTTTAGTTTTACCCATAATCATTATGGGGATAATATCATTTTTTGGTGGTTTGTGCGGGTTGAGGCTACCAGAAACCCTTAACCATCGATTACCACAAACTTTGGAAGAAGGCGAAGAGTTTGGTAAATATTTTAGCTGGGACGATTGTTTTAAATGCGTACCTGCTCAGTAAGTACCTACCACTGTAGATTATCTCATAAAAGTAAGTTGATTCTTTCTAGGCCATCTCCATCTGTTGCTGGTTCTTACGAAGATTTGGAAATGAGTTCAGTGGAAAAACCGACTGAAGCGACTCCGTTGGAGTCGCCTCTTGAGCCAAGGCGAAGAATTTCGATGAAAAAATTGGTGAGGCAACAGAGCGTTTTGGATACTCAGAAAAATGCCGATGGAACGATGAACATGATTTATTTATATTAGTTAGGATGATTAATGCAAATAATAATAGATTGTGTTGTTTTGGAGTTTACGGTTTTCAATTTCAGTTAGAGCTTTTATATGTTTTTGACCTTTTTAGGCTTATAATTTTTCTGCAGATCATGAATTACTGTAATTATGAATTTCTCTTCCGTGAACTTAACACAGTTAATGTAACGGTGGATAAAACGATAAAACCTGCTTTAAATGAAATTTCGCTGCCTAGTATGCCAGCCTCCCATAAGCAACCATGATGGGGTGAATAGGCTGAATGAAGTGCCACTCTATGTTAATGCTAGCACCACATTTTTCCTGCAAAGTTGGTGCCATTATCACGCTTTTCCCCGTCGCGCAATAAATCGTTTAAATGTTTCCAAAAAGGATGCTGTATTCAGGTCTGAGACAGTCTCAAGATGTACAGCCTTTCTTACGAGACAAATGAAAAGAGCTATGTAACATTTAGAGACCTTGCACCCAGGCCCCTTTCGAACCTTAATTGAGAATGGACCTGCATAGTCAACTCCAACGTTGGAAAATGGCAAACTGGGGGAGGTTCTGACTCTTGGCAAATTTCCCTTAGGAGGATTGCAAACCTTAGAATTGAAACGGATACAAATTACACATTCTCGCACAGTTATCTTGGTTACATCTATGCCAGAAATTGGCCAATAGTTTTGTCGAATGTGAGACAAAAGTAATTGAGGCTCACCATAAAGCAAATTTTTATGCTCATGTCTAAATATGAGGGTTGCAAAATGGTATTTTTGAGCTAGTATGACAAGATGTTTCGTAGTAAATGAATAGGAGGAGAGCTTCAACCTACCACCTACTCTTATAATGTCCTTTTCATCCATGAAGGGTGTTAAGCTGATTAGCCTACTTTTGTTGGATACAGAACCTGTTTTTTTGAGATCACGTTGTTCAACACGAAAAGACTCAGTTTGAGCAAGCTTCAATAAAAGCTCACAAGCATTTCGCAGCGAGAACAGTTAATGATCCACTTTTTTGTTTTACGTTTTTCCTTATTTATTTGCAGTTATGCACAAATCTGAGCATATATGCAGCTGCTCTGTTAATTCGTGAAAATGAAGAGTTTCAACAAAGCTATAAGAAGTGTTACGAATTTCTGGAAACTTCTCAATGGGCAGGAGCTTTCTCTCGGAAATATCAGCAGGCCATTCGTCAAAGGACATCTTGAGCCAAGCTGGTCCATAGAACCACATAGAAGTAGGTAGTATATAGGCGTTCTGGATGAAAACAGACACGAGGCAAAGAGACACTCCCCCTAACACTCAAGATAGAACCATTCCCCTACCGCGCCCTGTATTGTTCTACCGCGCCCTGGATGCCCCTACCGGGTCACTCGAGATTCTACACACAACCATCCTCCCACCCTGTATCCCCCTATCGCTGCCCTCTATCCTTCTACCTCTCAAGATACGACACAACTACACAACCATCCCCCTATATTTTATGCTGAATTTTGCTGGTTTTGTGTGCTCAATTTTGGTGGTTTTGTTCTGGATTTTGTGCTGGTTTTCACTGCTTTCATGCTGGTTTTACTGGTTTTATGCTGGTTTTGTGCTGGTTTTCACTGGTTTCATGCTGGTTTTTCACTGGTTTTGTGCTGGTTTTCACCTGACTTGGAAGGGGGAATGCTTGAGATCGAAACTAGGAGGGTAATTACAGGAAAATTGCGGTGGAGGGATACTATGTATTTTTTTGAGAATGCGATAGGGAAATACTGGGCTGGGGTAGATGGTTGTATTTAGAATCTCTAGTGACCCGGTAAGGGGATACAGGATGTCTAGGAGAATCCAGGGTTCCGTATATAGGGGAATGGTTGTATCTTGAGTGGTAGGGGGGTACAAGGCGCGGTAGGGTTGCTGTGTGTGTCTCTTTCGACCGTAGCTGGGATAGGGATCCACAGAGGGTGCGATAGGGGGATGGTTGTATCTTGAGTGGTAGGGGGAGTGTCTTTTTGTCTCGTCGCTGTTTTGATCCAGAACGCCTATATACTACCTACTCATAGAAGAAGTAATTAGGTTTCTTGGAGACATTCCTCTTGACAGAATATTTGCTGGACTGAATTCAGTTAGAACGTGTCTCCAGCTTTTGATTGGCGTCAGGTTTTGGGTAGTGGAAACACGATTACCCACGAAAACTTGTAAATTAGCTGGAGAAAAGCGCAACCAGGTGGTGCCACAGTGGAATCAAACCAGAATAATGACATGTCATTATTCAGGGTAAGACACGATTTTACTTTATCGTATAGGGGCGAAATGCTCGAAACGTTCCTACATAACTGCACTGCGCCCTGCGCCTTCGACTGAATCAGCACCCGAAAGAATATCATCGACATAAAAATCCCTTGCAATAACCTGAGCAGTGAGCAGCGAGAGGATTCGAAGTATGATTTTCAACACGGTGCACTTGCAGTTCCGTACGGTACTGTGTTAAGAAAGAATATTTTAATTTCATCCTTTGGGTCCGAACGCCAAAGAATCAACTATAAAGTCCTCTTTCATTTGTATCTGACGATACATTTTGCAAATGTCGGCAGTAAAGACAATTTGGTGTTGTCAGAATCTCATGACAATTGATACTAAGTCATCCTGAACCACCGGACTAATTATTTAAAGCGAATTGTATGAGAGCCTGGAACTGGAAATGGCTGAACTATTGAATATCACTCTTAGCTTTGTTGTTGTACCTACTATCCTCACGTAACACGTCGTGATGTGGAGAATAGTACACTTTTTGGTTAGGCACAGAAGAAAAAGGTGTCATATGTAGAAGGTATTGGTATTCCTGCATAAATTCTTTCAATTTGGAAATTCTACCAAGCTTTCACTCCAATGATAGAAATTGACTAAGTATTTGATTATATAGCCGGGTTCTCACTAGGCCATTTCATGGATCAGTATTATTGAATCTAGAGGATTGAACATAGAATGGAATGGAAAATTTGTTCACATTTTTCAATAACATTGAAGATCTACTGTGTTTTAAAAATGGCTGCAAAGAGGAAAATTCTGCGTGCCGGTGTTCCTATTTTCTGTGAGTATTTAAAAATCGCGATAAAAAACAGGAAAAATAGAAAACCTCGTCGATGGTGGGTTAGACCATGGATAAAACAACGTATATATGAAGGTGCTTCTGTGAAGCTGATAAAAGAATGGGGAACAGGTGACCAGGATGCTTATAGGAACCTCTCAAGAATGACCGATGAAAAATTTGAACAACTTCTACAGTAAGTGTCACCCTTGATACAGAAAAAAATCCTCCATTAAGGGACGCTCTTTCAGCAAGACTCAAATTACAAGTAGTTTTAAGATATTTAGCTACTGGAGATTCTTTTCCGTCTTTGGGTGCACTGTACCGACTGCCCAAAAACACTAATTCACAAAAATTTTAAATGTAACGAGCGGTTCGGTTTTGATTCTAACCTCAAAATAGTCAAAATAGACACACCGGCAGTTCAATGCGGCTGAACACGCTCGTTCTCACGGTCAATTACCGTTCAATTTAATTGAATCAATCCCGTTGATCCATTAAAAATAGAAATGCCTTTCAATTTAATTGAAACACAAAATCATTGAGCAATATCATTGAATGGATGTTCACATTAGTCTATCTATGAAATGGCCTAGTGAGAACCCCGCTTAAATCACGCTCAACAGCTTCAGAGAAATACTTCTCGGCTTGTACCTCCTCCTCAGATAGAACTGGCTTGGATGAAACCTCTTCAAGCTCCCAGAATTTGGTTAATTGACTTTGAATACCTGTCGTCCTGGAAAAATTACAAATGGAATAATCTGAATCTGAGCGGATCCGAAATAAACCTACCAAGCTTACTATTTTGAATCGCAGGCTTTCCAGTGCCCAACGATCTTCGTTCACCGCCTACCAAGTTCCAAAATATCTCTGCACCAATGAAAGGGTCAATGGGACTAGGCTTATGAATCTTGGATCTGCGAGGGTGCAATGAACTGGAATATTCAATGACATGAGATCGAAATATGAAGTGGGCAACTCACTCGTAATTTGTGGAAATACCAGGCAGTTGAAAGTTTGAATGACATGATTTAATTTTAATTTCACATGATTGTTTGATGGGAGACTGGTTTTGGCCTATTCCTACAATTGAAGAGTTAATTTGATTTACTGCAATGCTCAATTGACTGGCACATTCCAAAAAAAATAAAATTGGACATTGAAGCGCTATTGAGTAGTGTTTGAAATCCACCCGTGGGATTGGATACTTGGACTACAGCAGTGGCCAGCAATACTTCCACCTTTGTTAACTCTATATTATGCACTGAAATCTTACCTGCAATGAATCTCTTGAACTCGCTCTTGGAGCTGGAGTTGGAGTCGAATCAGTGGAATGCAATAATGAGTAAGGATCCTGTTTACAATGCCTGCATTTACTCGACCTACACTTTTCCACTTTTCAACTCGTTTGGGAATAGGCAATGCTAAAAATATTGTGCATTTATAAATGCCATGAGCTTCTTTACAAAAGTCATCACCTTCTGCCCTAGCGGACAGAAGCGAAATAAGTTCTGCCAAAGTTGGAAGTTTCCATCATTCTTTACCATGTCGACATCTAGCTTGCTGGTTACTAAATAAGTGATTAAAGGATCCCAATCTTTTGTGACCAAATCTAAATTTTGAAGCGACCTCATATTCTTGGAGATTAGATCCACAATATTGCGAAAGCTATGTGATGATTCACCTTTGACCTCGAATATGTTGAGAAGGGATTTTATATGATTGTAGACCATTGGTTTTCTATTTTCAAATCTCTAGCACAAAATGTCCCATGCAACAGAATAATTATCTGATGAGATAGGGATTGATTGAATACAATGTGATGCAGATCCCTCTAGCGAGGCTTTCAGGTACTGAAACTTCTCAATGGATGAAACATAGTTGTTATCGAGTACTTATGAAGGTAATTAATAGTATAGTCTTTTTAAAGTCAGTTGAAACAAGGTAAAGGTAAATCACAACTGGTGATTGAATACTTTCATAAGAAATGCACTGCCACTAGTCAGCCACCAGTTGCAATTTATTTTTACCTTGTTTCAATTGACTTTACAAGAAAGTAGTTCTGAAGAAATCCGGGGAAGTTTGGGAAAATATAAAGTAGTATGAGAAAATGCGGAACTGTATTAATCTACCTCCACTTTTCACTAAAAAAAAAACTCATTATCAAAAAAAAAATATATTCAAAACTAGTCAAATATAAATCTAAGCCCTTTTATCCAAAACGCTACGATTGATCACTCCAGCAGTCGAAGTGTAGTCCTTGCTCTTGCCAGTCAAAGCGATAATTTGCTCAGAAACCTCGACAGCTACACGAATCTGAGCCTCGCCAGTGCTGGCGCCCAAATGCGGCGTCGCCACCACTTTGTCCTGAGCGATCAGTTCTAAAGTTACGGGATCAGTGGGTGGTTCTTGTTCGAATACATCGATACCGGCACCGCCGCACTGGCCTGATTTGATGGCGGCCAACAGATCCGATTCGTTGATGATACCGCCACGCGCCACGTTTATTATTCTGATGCCTTTTTTACAGGAGTTTAGGACTTTTTGGTTGATGAGATCTGAAAGAGAGAGAGTATAAGTTTGGTTCCTGGAATTCTGCAGAGCAAGTTCCAGTTTTTTGGGTTGCAAGAGGTGAAAAATGACCTGGATTTGTAGCAGTGGCAATAAGAAGATTCTAATCTATTACCAAAGGAAACTGGACCAAGCTATGGAGAAATACTCACTTCTAGTGGCAGGTATCAAAGGTGTGTGCACTGTAATGTAATCGGCACGCGGCCAAATTTGTTCCAAAGGCAAAAACTCAGTATTAAACTGCTTGGCTTCTTCGGCACTGACGATGGGATCAAATCCTATAGTCTAAAATCAATAAAATTATCAATTTTGCATTTAAAAATCTCACACAAATCCTTACAGTCATTCCCCAAGCTTGCATCCTAAGTGCCACTTCGCGCCCGATCCTGCCCAGGCCGATAATGGCCAACGTTTTTCCACTGAGTTCGTGTCCAGAGTACAACTTTCTGTCCCATCTTCCAGCTTTCAATGAGGCACTGGCCGGTGTTACGTTTCTGGCTAAATTTGTGATTAGCGAGCAGGTCAGCTCACAAGCGCTTATGGCATTACCACCAGGAGTACTGGAAAGGAACTAACGTTTGAAAAGGTTCACACATACCTACTTTAATGTGTATCAAAACTCAATACTCTTTCATATGACTTAGCCTGAAAATAACCTCAGATACATAATAATTATATTAGCAAAAACTTCCAACGAAAGTTCAAAGTTCTTTTGTAGAGTAGCAAATTCTAGCTCTCATTTTCTAGAAACTATATACAAAACAAGGAGCTCTGGGGCTTAGAAAATGCAGTATAAGGTTCTCTTAGTAGCCTCATACTACTGCAATATATCTTTCAAATACTCTTTAATAGTTGAATATGACTTACTTTAAAACTATCACATTATTGGCTGTAGCTGCATTCACATCGATATTGTCAACTCCTGCCCCAGCTCTGCCGATTACTTTCATTCTTTTGCCAGCTTGGATTACTTCAGCAGTAACTTTTGTATCGGATCTGACAACTATGGCATCATAATTCTTGCAAAACAAAAAAGTACAAAATTTAAGAAATATATTAATTACAATCAGTTACCTTAATTTCTTGAACCAATTGTTCCTTCGATAGCTTATATTTACAATCGACTTCAATCGAGTATTTCTTCAAGAGTTCGATACACGCATTATCGACAGCATCAGCTACTAAAACTTTTTTTATATCCATTTTTATCACTTATCAGCAAGTCAAATGATCATTCGACTAGTTATCAATATTTGAAATGTGTGTATGAAATCAGGCCGACCTTCGAACCTGAACTGGCGCTTGTTGGTTCGTTGTGACTTAAGTATAGAGTGGAATAACTTGTTTACTGGTGCTTAAGTACTTGAGGCAGGAAAGATTTTTTGGCCTATCGGCAGAGGCGGAGGAATATAGTTTTATGTCCGATAAAATTAAAATATATTTCAAATGTTTTATACGCTTAGCTACGGTAGTATTTTTTGGTTGAAACATCTATACTTTCCAAGTTGGATTGAAAATCTAAAGGCAAGCTATTTTAATTAAGAAATTAGTAATTTGTTGTTGGGTAGGGAATCATCAGCAAATGAAGCTCTGATAAGAAGAAATGAAAAGTTGTGTGAAGACAATCCTAGATATTCAGGCCCTTGCCAGAGAAGAAATTTAATTTTCACTAATGAAATGGATATTAAAAGCTTCCGAATATGATCCTAGTGAAATTTTAAATAAAATGGATACCTACCCAATATAGCTCATTTAAAAAATATCTAAATTAACATGTTATCCTGTGATAAGGAATCTTAATAGAAGCACATTTGATCCCATATAAGAACAATGAAATTTCATTGTCATTCATAGAAAGACAAAATTGAAATATGATACGGTGAAAGCAAGGATACGCCACTGTCGACAGTACCGCAATAATTACTTTTTGACTGATTATAAAGTACCCCCAGCAAAGCATGACTTATCTGTTTTTCATATAAATTAACGTCAAGAGATTTACTTAATCTCGAAAAAGTACTCACTTATTTTTTTAATCAATTTTGGTAAAATGTGAAACTACTATTAAAGTACATAGCCTGAGAGATTTTGGAATTAATCTATAAACAATTATTATTGTTTCTATCAATAACATTTTCATCACATATAGTTTCATAATCAAAATACATACTATTATTACTCCATATATTTATGATGCAATAAGTTCAAAAATTACATAACTTATCAGTAATCTTATAATATTTTTAACACTTTGTATTGCAATAGTCTCTTCAATTTTAATTGTTTTTAGAGCTATTAGGTACCTACCTCTCCAATGAAAGTTTTAATTTTAAAAATTAAGGGAGAAAGAGAGGAAATCCGAGGAAATCGAAGGCAATGAGGAATAATCATGTAAGGAAATCGTGAGGAAATCAAGGAAAATGTTAAAGAACCCAGGAGAAATCTTAAGGAAATCAGTTAATCTCTAGATCTGACGCATGCCCAGTTTTCAAAAAACTTTATAACTTGCGATTATGTTATCAGGGGAACTTTTTACTGGTTATTAAAAGAAAAACCGCAATTTGGTGTATAAAACTTTACCCCTTGGAGTAAACTGCAAGGGAAATCTAGTTTAGGGGAAATTAAGAGAAAATCCGAGGAAATCTAAGGCAATCAGGGCAAATCATAAGCAAATGAGAGGAAATCAAGGGAAATGTTAATAAGGAATAGGGAAAATCTTGAGTAAATCTTAAGATTATCAGTCAATTTCTAGATCTAACTCATACACACTTTTCAGGGGAACCTTTGGGCAATCTTGCTAGTAATCAGAAGAAATCCAGGGGAAATCACCCCATGATTTCCCCCAAAACCGCAAACTGGTGTACAAAAACTGATTTACGGTTTCCCCCCTCGGGGTAATCCACAAAGTAAATATGGTGTACAGACTAGAAAAAATCAAGATGAAATCCGAGGACATCTAGGGCAATCAGGGCAAATCTAAGGGAAATGTAAATAAGGAACAGGGGTGATCTTAAGGAAATCATGGGAAATTTTAAGGAAATCATAAAGCTTAAGCATGTCAGTCAATCTCTAGATCTAACGCATACACACTTCTCAAAAATCTTTACAATTTGAGATTATGTTATCAGGGGAACTCTTGGGCAATTTTGCTAGTAATGAAGAGAAATCATGGAAAATCATCCGATGAGTTCCCCTAGAAATGCAATCAGGTGTTCAAAAACTGAACTGCGGTTTATCCTTCGGGGTAAACTATAAGGAAAATATGGTGTACAAAATTAGGGCATTTAGGACAAATGATAAAAATATCAGAGGAAATCAAGGGAAATCTTAAGGAACTCAGGAGAAATCTTAAGGAAATCATGGGAAATCTTAAAGAAATCAATCAATCTCTAGATCTAACGCATGCGCAGTTTTCAGAAATCCTTATAATTTGAGATTATGTTATCAGAGGAACTCTTAGGCAATTTTGATAGTAATTAGGAGAAATCATCTCATGAGTTCCCCTAGAAATGCAATTTGGTGTACAAAAACTGATCTGACAAGGAAAATCTGGTGTACAAATTAGGAGAAATCAAGAGGAACTCCGAGGAAATCTAGGGCAAATCATAAGGAAATCAAGGGAAATGTTAATAATGAATAGGGGAAATCTTAAGGAAATCATAAATCTTAAGGATATCAGTCAATTTCTAGATCTAGCGCATACACACTTTTCAAAAATCTTTATAATTTGAGATTATGTTATCAGGGCAATTTTGCTGGTAATCAGAGAAAATCATGAGAAATCATCCATTGAGTTCCCCTAGAAACGCAATCAGATGTACAAAAACTGATCTGCAGTTTATCCTTCGGGGTAAACTACAAGGAAAATCTGGTGTACAAATTAGGAGAAATCAAAATGAAAGCCAAGGAAATCTAGGGCGTTTAGGGCAAATGATAAGAATATCAGAGGAAATCATGAGGAAATCAGGGTAAATCTTGAGGAACTCAGGAGAAATCTTAAGAAAATCATGGGAAATCTCAAGGAAATCAGTCAATTTCTGGGTCTAACGCATGCGCAGTTTTCAGAAATCATTATAATTTGAGATTATGTTATCAGAAAAACTCTTGGACAATTTGAAAAACTCTTGGACAATTTTGATAGTAATCAGGATAAATCATGTGGGAAATCATCCCATGAATTCTCCTAGAAACGCAATCAGGTGTACAAAAACTGATCTGCGGTTTACTCCTCGGGGTAAACCACAAGGAAAATCTGGTGTACAAATTAGGAGAAATCAAGATGAAATCCGAGAAACTCTAGGGCAATCAGTGCGATTCATAAGGAAATCAGAGGAAATCAAGGGAACTGTTAATAGGCAGTAGGGGATATCTTGAAGAAATCATGAAAAATTTTAACGATATCAGCCAATCTCTAGATCTAACACATGCACACTTTTCAAAAATCTTTATAATTTGAGATTAAGTTATCAGGGGAACTCTTGGGCAATTTTGCTAGTAATCAGGAACAATCATGGGATATTATCCAATGAGTTCCTCTAGAAACGCAATCAGTACAAAAACTGATCTGTGGTTTATCCTTCGGGGTAAACTACAAGAAAAACAAGGAAAATCTGGAGTGCGTTCAGAAATGGAGTGTGAAGGTAGAGTATTTAGTTGTTGGCCAGAGTGTTCTGACGTCATCACTTTGATGCACTTTGGGTGCGTTATTTCTGAACGTATTGGGGCGTTGCGGTAAATGTCAATTGTAAAATCACGTCAAACCTTTGAATATAAAACTACAGGAAGGAGCGTTTTATATCTGTGACTACAGACAACGCAGGGCCGGAAACGGCCATATTGAGCCTCCAAGTATGGACTCATCATTTGTTTTGGTGGTTCGCTGTGTCCTCATTCAAGTGGATGTTTAATGGATTTTAGCGGTTTTAAGTGATAATAAGCACTGAGTGAGTCATAATATTGACAATCATATTTAAATAAATATACGCCACTGCCAAACCGGAAATACTGGTCGGCCATATGCAACCTCCACATATTTTGATCGCGCAGATTCGAAGTTATGCTCATTCCTGTATTTAGTTTTATATTCAAAGCGTCAAACCCAGTAAAAACCGCGGGGCGTTTTCAACCCAGTCCCTGAGTAGGGTAATTTTGGCGCTCTCTGGGCACGTCAACTCTCCTGAACGACTCCAGCGTCACGCTCCGAGCAAGCACCTGTTAATTTATGAACGGCTTAGAGTTACTCTAGGGTCACTCTCATATCCAGTTTGCTATTTCTAAACGCAACCCTGGTGTACAAATTAGGAAAAATCAAGATGAAATCCGAGGAAATCTAGGGCAATTAGGGCAAATGATGAGAATATCGGAGGAAATCGTGAGAAAATCAAGGAAAATTTTAAGGAAATTAGAGGAAATCTTAAGGATATCATGGGAAATCTTAAGGAAATCAGTCAATCTCTAAATCTTACGCATGCGCAGTTTTCAGAATTTGAGATTATGTTATCAGGGGAATTCTTAGGCAATTTTGATAGTAATCAGGAGTAGTTATATTGGAAAATCATCCCATGATTTCCCCTAGATACGCAATCTAGTGTATAAAAACTGATCTGAGGTTTATCCCTCGGGTAAACCACAAGAATGTACAAATTAGGAGAAATTAAGATGAAATCCGAGGAAATCTAAGGCAATCAGGGCGAATCATAAGGAAATCAGAAGAAATCAAGGGAAATATTAACAAGCAACAGGGGAAATCTTAAGGAAATAATGAAAAATTTTAAGGATATCAGCCAATTTCTAGATCTAACACATGCACACTTTTCAAAAATCTTTATAATTTGAGATTATGTTATCAGGGGAACCCTTGGGTAATCTTGCAGTGATCAGAAGAATCATCCCATGATTTCCCTTTAAACCGCAATCTGGGTCCTTATACTTGAAATAGGGGAGCAGCGTTCCCAGGAGAACGAATGTTCCGTCTTTGTTACCTATATTACAATTTGCATATCGTTGAGAAAGACGGAACACTCGTTCTCCTGGGAACGCTGCTCCCCTGTTTCAAGAATAAGGACCCTGGTGTACAAAAACTGATCTGCCTGATCTGCGGTTTATCCCTCAGGGTAAACCACTAGAAAAATTTGGTGTTCAAATTAGGAGAAATCAAGATGAAATCCGCCCCTCGGTTTGTATAGTCGGTCTCCATTTTTAATTATTAATTTACAGAAGAATCAAATCAATTTCTGCAATTACCTACCTATTACTTTGTTTGGAAAGTAGTCATAGATACAAATAGGAAACAATTATTTGCAAAGTAAAACTGGATATTTAGTGCAGGAAAGA